AAGGAAGAAAGGTGACTGACCGGTTGAACGTCGCGGTGTCGTTCGGTGAGACCACAGGACGCCGTCGAGTTCGTCTGCCCACGTTCCCTTAGCGATATCGAGTCGTTTCTTCAGTCCATCAATGATATCATATTGATTCAAGATATCAAAGCATGTGCGAAGATGGCCGACGTGCTCGGAAGCGATGAGTGACTTTACGAGCATATCATCGATGTAGACTTCCATAGTTCGTCCGAGCTGGCTCGCGAACATCCGGTTTACCAGTCGTTCGTACGTTGCTCCAGCATTCTTCAGGCCGAATGGCATGGCCTTGTAGCAATAGATGCCATGGTCCGTGATGAAGGATGTCTTCTCTCGGTCCTGCGGATGCATGAGAATCTGATTGTATCCGGAGAACGCATCCATGAATGAGAGTAGTTCATTTCCGGCAGTTGCTTCCACAAGGCGATCGATATGAGGTAACGGAAAGCTATCTTTCGGACACGCTTTATTGAGGTCGGTGAAGTCGACGCAAATTCTCCATTGATCATTCTTCTTTTTCACGACCACAGGGTTTGCCAACCAATCTGGATACTTAACTTCGGTGATAGATCCAGCTTTGAGTAAGCGCTCGACCTCGTCGTTCACGGCTTGCGCTTTCTCTGGCCCGAGCTTTCGGCGTTTCTGTTTGATAGGCTTGTACGTCGGATCGATATTGAGCTCGTGGCACGCGATCTGCGGGTCAATCCCGGGCATATCTTCTACCGACCAAGCGAAGGTTGAGGTATGCTGTTTCAGGAAACGAATGAGTGGTTCACGGATGACTGGATCGAGCTCGGCACCAATTCCAACTTGACGCTCTGGCCTGAGTTCGTCAATGCTAACTTGAACGATTGATTCCTGCTTAGGCTTTATCTTTTGGACAATGAGCTTGTCAGTTGGTCCGAACGAACTAATAACGCAAGCTTGGTTGGCCGAGTGGAGTCTGCACTCATTTATGTAGTACGATCGAGCAACGGCTTGGTCTCCTCGGAGTGTGTACACACCGTCGGGGGTCGGGAACTTCAAGCATTGATGGTACGTCGAAGCGACCGCTTTCATTGCGTGCAGCCATGGCGTACCGAGAATAGCGTTGTAGATCGCCGGTTTGTCGAGGATAAGGAACTGGATCATCTTTGCGATTCCGCCGACGTAGATTGGGATTTTGACGGTGCCGATCGTCATACAACGTTCTCCATCAAATCCGGTAAGTGGCTCGATGAACGGATCAATCCTATCTGACGCCAACTCGAGCTGGTCAAGTGCTTCCTTGAAGATAACGTTGACCGAACTGCCAGTATCGATCAGAATGCGGCTAACTTCGACGTCGTCGAGGAGTAGATCGACAACGAGAGCGTCATTAAGCGGCTTGTGAATTCCGATCGTGTCAGCCTCGGTAAAGACCAAGGGCGCTCCCTTTGGCGGATCCTGCGGGGTTTTCGGTGTGCTAGCGGCTTGTCTGCTGTATTCCTTGATGGCTCGAACGGAATAACTGCAAGCTTCGATGGCCCCCATTATCATGTTGACACGTTTTCGCGCCTTAGGAGCATGATTCTCCGGAGCTCGGTCATCGCGATTCCGTTTCTATTGCTCGGGCAAAGCAGGCGGATTCGGTGGCGGTGGTGGTAGTGTCGGTAAAGCCGGTGGAGTTGGTGGATCTTTGGCGAGTGCTTTCTCGAGATGTTCGTTGTTCGGTCGAGGCATCGAGAGTTGCCCACCGCTCTTAGGCGTATTTGAGCGTCGGAGTTCGTCAACCGAGATCGGCTCCTTGCGATACAGGCCGAGTAGATATTCTCGCAAATGCCTGCATTCTTCGGTGCTGTGGCCCCTACGGTTATGGAATTCGCAGAATAACGACTCGTCTTGGTCTTCTTCACCGCGGATCCATTTATTATTCCACTGCTTGCTTGGTTGTTGGATTGCGTTAGCATAGAGTTTCTTGCGGTTCTCGTATCCTCGACCGTATCCCGACTGCGGCTCGTTAGTCGCGGGTTTCAGACGTTCGGGTTGTTTTGTCGAGTGACTTTGCTCGTACGCAGCTTCTTCTTCTTCTTCAGCGATGTAAGTATTAGCTCGGTGTAACGCATCTTCTAACGTCTGTGGTGGGTTATGCGTGATCGCGCTTCAGAAACTGGTCTTTATCCGAGCTCCTTTCTGAAGGCATAAGAGAGCGGCTTCGTCGCTCATCGTGCAGTTGGCGACGATTGCCTTGAAGCGCTGGATGAAGTCGCGAAGGCTCTCGCTTGGTCCTTGAGCTATTTGCCAGAGCTCGGAGTTCTTGGTATTCTGTCCAATGAACATGGAGAAGTGCTTGACGAAAGCTGTCGTTAACTCTTTGTAGCTGTCGATTGAATTGGCTTCGAGCCGTGAGAACCAGTCGAGAGCTACTCCTCCCAGACTTTCCACAAATAGTTGGCACTGACCGCGTCTCTTTCTTCGGCAGACTTAAACTGGTATCGGTTCATGCAGATGCCGAACGATGTCAGGAAGTGTCGAGGGTCAGAGTTGCCCTCGTAGATTTTCATCTTCAGTTTCTCCATGTGCTTGACCGGCGTCCCTGCGATGCGCGATGTGAAAGGAGTCTTCTGTGTTTCCTGAATGACGCGCTCGATCTCCGGAGCCGCGCTTGTGGCTTGGTGTATTTTTGAGGTGATATCGCGAAGCTGTGCTTTCATCGCTTCAAACTCGGCGTCTCGGCTTAAATCCGGTGCTGGTGGGTTTGCTGACCCGACCGCGGCAGACCTTATAGTTCCGGCTGGATCTCCGTCAGCATTGAGATCGTCAATGATGTTCCGAACTCGGAGAGGAGTTCGTGTCTGACTGAGTTCGGCGATCTGTGCCGCCATCTGACTGAAACGTTCCTCGCTCCTTTTGTTGATGGCTTCGAACTGAGCAGTGAACATTTGGAGTAACAGGTCGGTTACGGCTGCGGGAGTTTGCTCGGCAGCAGTTCCGGCGTTTTCTCCAGGAGTTCCTCCCGTTTGCCCTGTTTGGGCGTTGATGTTATTTCCCCTGAGAGGGTTTTCTTCTTCGTGAACGTTGGATTGGTTTGCCATCGCTGATTCAATCTTTCCGAAGTCCGATCAAAAATCTGAGATAAACCCTAAACCCCCCTTCCTGGCGCGCCAATTGTTGATATGTGAATATCGACAAGGGACAAAACAGTAATTTAGATCGGAAGCTCGGTTTTATTAGATTGAATCAGGTGAAATACAACTGAGTTCGGTTATTTCAATAGGCAATAACGAACTAAGACTTAATGCGACTAAGAAGCTGTCGTAACGAGTTCTCAGTCTTTAAGTCTTCTTGGGAATAACTTGTGTTCTCTGGTGTCGATTCGTCTCCCTTTATATATATCTCCTAAGTCGGTCTTCAAGCACGCCTTAGACGATATGGGACCGAGAGGAGTTTCCTTTTCTCTCGGTTCCTTTCCTTTTCTCTCCGAAGTTTCCTTTTTCCCTCAGGAAACTTTCCTGTTTCGGCCGAGCTCAAGGGAACCTTCCATTCCTTTGAGAGGTTTCCCACCGACCTCGGTCTAATGGGCTATCTTTGGCCCATCTTCGCTCGGTCCATCTTCTCTCGGTACATCTCTTCGTAAACCGGGCTTACGGTTCACCAATCTCAGTTTGTACCGGAGAAAACCAGGGTGCGGTTTTCACCTCCAACATGATCCAACCTATGAACGTTCGTGAGCTTGTAGTTTACCCAGTCGATGAACCTATGAGAGAGGCTTGGGTGCCTACAACGTCAGCCACCGTCCAAGCCAGCGACTCTAGCTCGTCATCAAGCCACGGTTACAAGTTTTACTAAGTATGATATCTGTACATCAATCTTTTGTCGATCTGGTTTTCATAAAGGTCATGAGTTTAATAATAACCGTATCCAAATCGGGATCATGATGTTTTTAGTTTGCAATGTTTATTTTTCTAGTGAGTTTTCCTCTATAATAAAATATGGATCTTTGCAACTCTTACCGCGTATTGGACTGATTCGAGAGTCCATCAATCTATATATCGGTAATGTACTCTAATAGTAAACTAAAAAAACCTTGAATCCAATTACGTATTGAAATAAAGAGTTTACCCTAAATTAAATATATATAAGATAATTAGTATCCGCTTATTATGCAAGGTATCTTAATATAAAAATACTATCAAATATTAAAAGATTTAATTGGTTATCCCGCAATTGTTTGCAAATTTGACGTTTAATGAAAACTTGCATTATTATTATTATTTTATTATTATTATTATTTTTATTAAAAAAAACCTATTCCATACAAATCTCAAATTTTAACAATTAAAACAATTATAGTTAGGTGAAAAGAAAGCAAAAAGATGCAACATTACTTACCACTTATCAGAAGCACTTTTCAAAGACTTCCAACCATACTACTTATGGTTCATTGTTGAAATATAATATAGGGAAGGCTTATGTTTCCACTTTTCATTGTTTAAACGTTTTGGGCCACTAAATCTTATAAAAAAGGCATATGGAGATGGAGTTTAACTCCGATAGAGAAAACCGTAAAGGCAATATGGTTTGGTTTTGCGCATCATAATTAGCGACAAGAATGAGTTTATAAAATAAGAGCATACAAAGCTCATACGTTTTCTGGTCATTATTTATACTAAGATGTGATCCGAAGCGGCTTAACTTTTAGTATTATATTAAACTATTCTCGTTTATCCCGAGATGGCAAGATGGAAGCACCAACCGATCTCGACTCCATCCTCTACGTTAAAATTGAAAAATATAATTAACAATCTGCTACTATTCTAGTGAAAAAGATTTGGATCGTACAACATATATAGATCCGCAGTTATTGATCTGTCTTATATATATGGTACCAATTTTTGGTCGGACTTACATAATTTGAAAAATTAGCTGTCTTATATGGTATCAATAGATCCACATTTATATGGTATCAATATATATATATATATATATATATCCACGTATAGTATCTTATCCAGATAAGATATTACATCACAAAACATTCATCGTATTATTAGTATTATTTTAGACACAAGTATATGACTAATTAACAAGACTATAGACAAACTCGTCTTTATTGTTCACAGGTATACAACGGCGATTCTAAGTAGGTCATCTAATTAAGCTAAAATAAAGCTTTGAGATTATAAGGTCCAGTGACATTAGGCGGTCCACTCCAAAACAGCTCTGCGATCTGTCGATGAGCCTTCTCCGTCAAATGAGAAGAATCGAAAAACAAATAATCGGTAACGTTTTCGCATAACTCGTAACTTTGTCCCATTCGGCCTCCACAAGTATTGATTCCTCTCAATGGTCCGCTTCCACAGCAACCCATCTTCCCTTCCTTAAACCCTTCAAAATAAACAAACAAAGACACAAAACTTTCAAAGAGCTACACTAAAGATCAATCTCTTACTATAATACGTAATTACCAAGTGAAGAATAAAGTTACCGTATTTCGAAGGATTGTTGATTCTTTCCAATAAAGAAGTGTGATAGTCATGAAGAGCATATCTGAATCCGGATAGTTTACGCTGTAGTCGCCTTAAAGCATCCGGAAACTTCTTGTTGTGCAAATCGATCAGCTCGGTGACTAGTTTGTTACAAGATCCTATGTTTGTTGCGTCTAAGATCAGTGCGGCTGGTGCACAATCGTATGCTCCCACATTCAAGAATCCGAACTTCCTTCCTCCCATTTTATACACTTCCTGAGAAACATAACATACACCTCTCACTTTTAGACCAAAAGTTCATAAAGATTTGAGATCAGTTTTTTCGACTTTACTTTTACCTCAATGACGGATGTAGTGTTACCAATAACAAAATCAACGAATTTTTCTTTGGTATTGGATTGGAATAGTGAAGAGTTAGCAGTTAAGGGATAAAATAAGTCGTTGCTTCCGATACTAAACAGATAAACAGCTCTTGAGAAAACCCTTTTGGCTTTTACATCTCCTAACTCAGATCTCAGCCTCCTTTCAACGTTCTTGAAGCTATTTAACTGTGTTCCCAAATCTATCACCTTGAACGGTTAAGAAGGAAAAACACACAAATTAACAAAAATAAGAGAGAGTTATATAAGAAATATATTGTTTATTTAACGATATTTGCATGAAAATATTAAACAATATTTATATTGAAAAACTATTTACCATTCCGGGAAACGTTCCGGCCAAAGATCCGGCACCGGCAGAAGCAAAACTAACTCCATAGGGAAACTGATTGCTACCGTTGATTGGTTGTAGATTTGGTGGGATCAACGGTAACTGTGCTTTCTCAGCTGTCACGTCAACGATCAGTTAAAAAATAAAAAGTGTTAAATTTTTCAGGGAAATAAAATTATGAAAAACGAGAGTAGTTTTGTTACCGATGAAATCAGGAATCAAACGTCCGTCGGAGACTCTTCCGGTGGGAAATTTGAAAAAGGTTTGACCGTAAGGCGGGAAATTCGATTGGAAATTTGTGGTGGTATTGATGTAGTTGTTGTTTCCGGCATCGAACAGAGAATCTCCAAACACGAACAAAGCAGGTTGGTTTGTGACAAGATTGTTATTCTCTGTGCAGTTGATTGACCTGATGGATAAGATTATTGTGTAGAAGACGAAGATGATCGAAGCTAATCGAGAGCTTTCCATTTTTAATGTTGTTCTTGATAATTATACAAAAGTAGTTGCTCTGTTTTCTATATGAGAAGCTTTGACTTATATATTTTTTTCCGAAATGTTTTTATTCCACAGTTTGTTTGCAATTTTTTGTTATTAATTTTTGTTTTTTTGTGGAAAAATGTTCTTTGTGGTCAAGTTGATTTTCTCAAGCATAATTTTCAAATGCACGACTTTGAATAGAAATCGACATGATATCAGTCTAGCGTATTACGTATAGGTAGAAAAGTATTAAGGTGACCAAGAGAGAAGTTCAATATACTTTCTAATTGCCCATGTAAACTATAACAGTCTGAATTTTTCGTATTTCAGCACAAAGGAAAAACTGGTTAGTTGGTAAGAATGCTTTTAAAAGAAAAATAAAAACCATGTAAATTTCAGAGAAATTTGTTGACTTAGTTCCAATTTCAAAATAATATTTGCTAGAATTAGAAGCAACTGTATATATAAAGCCAGCAAACGACGCTGTGCCACAAGGTTCGACCATGGACCCGTGGTTCGTCTTTGGTCGCTCTTAACTCTTCAGGTACAGAAGGAGACCTAAAGCAGTAACTTGTTTCGTGTGGAACAAGTATTAAATATTTTAAAGTTTATTTCTGTAGAACCACAAGTAATATTCTAAGGAAAACATAGATTCATAACTAGCTACTACACGTACGCAATGAATTGAGTGATGATAGCTGATTAAGAAAACAATCAAGTGGTCTGTTCAGATATGCATTTGAGATAAGAATGTATGCTTGAAAAAGTAAGCCTTTAATTTTAAGAGTCACTAATGTATGTTTAATTACTCTTTGCTGACATCAATGGTTCAAAATACCAATGAGTAAATGACCCAGGAGTGTATCTACATATCTTCCAGAGTCAAAACTGAGAATTTTAGAAGAAAAAAACCTAAAAGTAGTTTGGGATCTTTAGGCGCTCGTTTAAACAAACTTAATGGGTGTTTTTATTGATCTTCAATTTATAAAATAAAATAAATAATATGGCCCGATTTATTTTCATACGATCGTAAAACGAAAATAGTAAAAAAAAAATGTAAAATCAATATGCTAAAGAGTCGTTTCCTCTAAACGATCAAAAGTGAAAATAGAAATATGTGCAATTTTAGACCAAAAGAAATTTAGACCAAAAAAAAAAAAAAGAAATATATGCAACATATTGGTTATCTTGGCGGAAAACAAATTTGAAACATGGTAAAAATCTGAAAAAGTAGCCGTTTATTCACAACGGTAAGAAAAAGTTTTAATTACTGAAAGAAATAGCAAAACAAATATTAAAAACATGGATTGGTTATAAAAGGAAACCCAGAGATGAGAAGTTAAAATTTGTCTACTTTCCATAGAAAATTAAGCTTTAAAATTTCAGTTGATTTGGTATCAAATATTCCGATTTTACTTTTGGGTTTTTCAGATTTCCCTAAAGTGGTACAATGAAGATATATATCAAGACATTAAAGGGAAAGAGTGTAAACGTAGAGGTTGAAGATAGCTCCAACGCTATCGACCTCAAGATCCATGGGGAGCCGATTCGTGAATTGGTTTTGCGACTTGTTCCAGGTCCCGGTTGGGATGCAGCAGCCATGACAATTTATGTAAAGACTCTATCGGGCAGGACCATTACCCTCGAGGCTAAGGGGTCTGATACCATTGGAGAAGTCAAGGCAAAGTATGAGGAGATTGATGGCACTCCAGTGCAGCAGCAGAGGCTAATATTTCGTGGTAGAGAGCTCCAGAACGGTCGCACCGTAGCTGAATACGATATCACACATGAGTCGACCCTTCACATAGCAAGTCGTCTTTGTGGTTGCTAAATTATCTCTCTCTTTTTTTTTTTTTTTATCCAACATTTATTTTATCGATATCATCAGACAGAAATCGAGAAGACATCTCATCCAAAAATCATTTCTACTTATCAAATTTCTCTTGTAGAAGATGGTTCGATCTCAAGTCAACCGGAGCTGAGTTATTGAGCTTCGAGAAGTTAGGCCCAATCACTCGAGCCAGACAGAAGCTGGGTCAGGAAATTGGTAGGCCCAAGTGACCGTTTGGTCAAACATATAAGAGCACGAGAAACGGATAAGGTTCCTTTGTAACAAACTTTTATCTTCTTCTTTCTCTGTTGTACTCTCGATCAATCACCATTGACGAGAACTCTAAGCTTCTGTAAAACAACTCCGAGCCATAGTGAATTCCGGGAATAATCTTGAAGAGAGATGTACCCTGGTTAATAGGGGAACTCTATAAACTTGCGTGTCGTAGTCTTTCTTTTCTCATTGCTTACCATCTTAATCTGTGAGTCGCGACACATCTTGAGAGATACGAGCTGTGAGAGAGCGAGATTGTACGAATGATCAAGCGGGAAGGATTGAGCTGGATCTGCAACAATTGGTATCAGAGCCAGGTTGAAGACGATCGGTGCAGATTCAAACGGAGTTCACAAAGTCATCGGTAAAGAAACTTACGAAGATCGGAGAAGAAGGAGAACGCATCGGAGCTTCACGGATCACTGGTGAAACTCCAGAGCGTACCTGGAAAAGTTGTTCGAACAAGCTCGGATTAAAGGAGCTCAGGGAGTATCTCTAAAACAAACCGCTAGAAAACTACTTAGATCATACCGTGCAAAACTCTTTCGGATATCTTGAATCTTGAATTGCATAGCAAACTCTTAGGTTATCGGAAATCTTCGTGATACTTCTGACTTGGGGTTATCTTTTGGTTGTTTACCTACAGGTACACATAACAGATAACGAGAATCACAAAGATGGAGCCTACACCAGGCAAGTTTCAGATGGATAAGTTCGATGGGAAGGGTGACTTTGGTATGTGGAAGTATAAGCTACAGGGTCAGTTAGAGATACAGGGTCTACTGTCTGTCCTTCAAGAAGTTCCTACGTCAACGATGGAAAAAGGAAAGGACAGTGATGACTCAGAGGAAAAGGTAGATCCAAAACGGGCTGAGAAGGACTTACGGGTGCGGAGTCTTCTAGGAATATGCCTGTCAGATACTATCTTGCGGAAGATAATGAACGAAGCGACGGCATTGGACATGTGGAAAACTCTCGAAAGAGATTATCAAACCAAGTCGCTACCGAACAGGATCTATCTGAAACAACAGTTCGCTAGCTACAAAATGGATGAGAGCAAGACCATTGAAGAAAATCTAGACACATTCTTAAGACTAATAGCTGACCTGGCTAGTCTTGACATAAAGATCCTGGATGAGGACCAAGCAATTCAGGTCCTATCGGGGTTACCTCCTCAATATGAGCCACTTGTACATACTCTCAAGTATGGAATGGGCAAAGATACCTTGACATTGCGGGAGGTAACCACATCAGCCTATACAAAGGAGGTGGAGCTAAGGCAGAAAGGTCTGCTAAACAAAGGAAAATCTAGTTCAGAGGGTTTTTTTTGTTGAAGGCAGAGGAAGGTCAGAAAAGAGGAATGATCAGGGCAATTGTGGAAGGAACACAAGCAGGGGAAGGTCTAAGTCTAAAGATCCTAAGAAAAGGGCTTGTTGGATCTGCGGAGATGAGAACCACTGGAAGAGAGATTGTCCACAGAGGAAGAAAGGAGGCCACTCGAATAAACCTCAAAGTACTGGAAACGTAGCTACAGCAGTCTCCGAACCCATTGCTCTAACAGAAAGTCTCGTAGCTTCAGAGGAGCAATGGATAATGGACTCAGGGTGTACATTCCATATTACGCCAAAGAAAGTGCTACTGTCAGACCTGAAAGAGTTCGAAGGTAATAAGGTTCTTATGGGGAATAACACCTACTGTATGGTAAAGGGTATGGGGAAGATTACCATTGATAACCCAGACCGAACCGTGGTGATTCTCAAAGACGTGAGATACATTCTTGACATGGGAAGGAATCTCATATCATACGGCCAATTGGAACAAGCAGGATGTTCCTACAGTGGGAAAGATCGTGTAGTTGAGTTCTACAAAGGAGGGAAGAAAGTCTTGGCTGGAAAATATCAAGAAGGCCTCTACTACCTTCAGGGAAGTGTTAGACCTGCACAAGCAAATGCAGTAAAACCATCAGAAGATATTACTAAGGTCTGGCACAAGAGATTAGCACATCTAAATCAGAAATCCATGGAGATGTTAGCAAAGAAGGGATATTTGAAGAAGGAAGAGGTGCAAAATCTCGGACTCTGTGAGGCCTGTACTCTCGGAAAGTCTCACAAACAAAGTTTTCCCAAGGCTAAACACACTACTCAAGGGATATTAGTGTATGTGCACTCTGATTTGTGGGGCTCACCAAATATTACCCCAAGCCTATCAGGGGCTAGATACTTCATCACCTTTATTGATGATTTTTCGAAGAAGGTCTGGATTTATTTCCTAAAGACTAAGGATGAGGCTTATCAACGATTTGCAGAATGAAAAGTGTTGGTAGAAAACCAAACAGGTAAAAAGCTGAAATGTCTTTGCACAGACAATGGTCTGGAGTTCTGCAATGCTAAATTTGATAAGCTGTGTACAGATTCAGGTGTTAAAAGACATAAAACCTGCCCTTACACCCCCCAGCAAAACGGGGTTTCAGAGAGAATGAATCGTACTATAATGGATAAAGTGAGATGTATGCTGGTCGAGACAGGGTTAAGAGGAAAGTTTTGGGCAGAAGCCGCTTCAACCGCTGTCTACATTATCAACAGATCACCAGCGGCTTCGATAAACTTTGAAGTCCCAGAGGCTATATGGACAGATGGAAATCCAGGATATAGTCATCTCAAAAGTTTTGGGTGTGTAGCGTATGTTCATACTGTAAAAGACAAGATAAGTCCGAGAGCTACTAAAGGAATATTTCTCGGGTATGGACAAGGTACCAAAGGATACAGAATGTGGCTGTTGGAAGATCAGAAAGTTGTGATCAGAAAGGACGTCGTGTTTCATGAGGAGGTGTTTTTTAAGGATCTTGATAGGTCAAGTGACGAGGAAGCACCGATACAAAACACAAGGACTAAGAAGAAGGTGACATTCAGCGATGAATTGGAGGAGTTCTTGGGGGAAAGAACTACATCAAAACCAACCTCAAATTCAGGTGGAGCAGACTCAGGTTATGAATCTTCAGAACCGGGACAGAATGAAGATTCAGGGACGTTAGAGGTTGATTATGATGCTGCTGCTGGTACAGAATCAGAGGTGGAACCTGATACTGATCAGGGTGTAGAGAACACGTCAGAGGACTTAAGTGATTATTTGCTCGCCAGGGATCGTGTTCGAAGAGAAATAAGACCACCATCAAAATTTGAGGACGCAGATTTTCTAGCCTATGCACTATCAAGTTCAGAGATAGTGGACATTGATGAACCAAAGTCATATATGGAGGCTCGGAAAAGCAAAGATAAAGATCTCTGGAATGGGGCTAGTGATGAGGAAATGGATTCTGTAGCCAAGAATGACACGTGGATACTTACGAAGAGACCAGAAAAACAGAAGGTTATAGGCTGCAAATGGATTTATAAACTCAAGCCGGGTATACCAGGGGTTGAAGCACCAAGATATAAAGCCCGTTTAGTTGCGAAGGGGTTTGCACAAACAGAAGGGGTTGACTATAATGAGGTGTTTGCTCCTGTGGTGAAACACGTGTCTATACGACTACTGTTATCAGCCGTGGTTCACCAGGATATGGAAATGGAACAACTTGATGTTAAAACGGCCTTTCTACATGGAGTTTTACAGGAAATAATTTATATGAGTCAACCCGAAGGCTATGTGGAGAAGGGTAAAGAGGATCATGTGTGTTTACTGAAGAAATCTTTGTACGGACTGAAGCAATCTCCTAGGGAATGGAACTACAGGTTTCATACATTTATGGTGAAGCAAAAGTACAAGAGAAGTGAATATGATCCGTGTGTTTATCTTAAAGGGTCCAATTCAGAAGACATGGTCTACTTACTCATATACGTGGATGACATGTTAATAGCATCTAAGAAAATGGATGTTATTGACAAGTTGAAGACATTGTTAAAGTCAGAGTTTGAAATGAAGGATTTAGGGGCTGCTCGGAAGATTCTAGGAATGGACATTTTCAGAGACAGGAAGAAAGGTGTGTTGAGGCTTTCACAGAGTGATTATTTGGTTAAAGTCTTAAAAACTTTTAACATGTGGGAGAGCAAGTCAGTTCAAACACCTCTAGGTCCTCAATTCAAACTACAAAGCCTAAGTGAAAAGCAGGAGTTGGAGCAATCAGAGTTTATGAGTAACATACCGTATGCGAGTGCTGTTGGCAGCCTCATGTATGCCATGGTAGGTTCCAGGCCGGATCTTGCTTACGCAGTTGGACTAGTTTGCAGGTTCATGGGAAAACCTGGTAAAGATCATTGGTTAGCTGTACAATGGATCATGAGGTATGTTAAAGGAGCGGCAGAGTTGAACTTAACTTTTACGAAAGGATCAGACTTCAGGATCAAGGGCTTTTGCGACTCAGACTTTGCATCAGATCTGGATCGACGCAGGTCAATTACAGGATATGTCTTCACTGTTGGAGGTAATACAGTCAGCTGGAAATCGGTTCTCCAGAAGGTTGTTGCTTTATTTACAACGGAAGCGGAGTACATGTCATTATCAGAGTCGGTCAGAGAAGCATTATGGTTAAAAGGGATTTGTGAAGAAATGGGATTTGAACAAGATGCAGTAGAGGTAAATTGCGATTCACAAAGTGAGATTTATTTGGCTAAGAACTATATGCATCATGAACAGACTAAGCATGTTTCTGTGAAATACCATTTTATTCGAGACTACATCTCAGATGGGGAAGTGAAAGTGTTGAAAATTCACACATCGGTTAATCCGGCGGATATGCTTACTAAGGTCTTACCTGGAGAAAAGTTCGAAGGGTGCTTGAAGACCTTGAAGGTTGTCGACATCTGAAGATCGTCGAGGGTCGTCTCCAGTTCTAGGAGATGACAAAGGGGGCCTCCGGGATCCAAGCGGAGGGTGAGTGAGCTGAGTTCTGGTCCATAAGGCTCAGTGGTAAGCTCGTTTCAGATGGTGGAAGGTTGTTCTGTCATTGGTGCCAGGATCGGATTTCACGGAGTATTGTCGTGTTCAGACATTAGGGTTGGTGAGACACGAACCAAGGTGGAGTTTTGTAGAAGATGGTTCGATCTCAAGTCAACCGGAGCTGAGTTATTGAGCTTCGAGAAGTTAGGCCCAATAACTCGAGCCAGACAGAAGCTGGGCCAGGAAATTGGTAGGCCCAAGTGACTGTTTGGTCAAACATATAAGAGCATGAGAAACGGATAAGGTTCCGTTGTAACAAACTTTTATCTTCTTCTTTCTCTGTTGTACTCTCGATCAATCACCATTGACGAGAACTCTAAGCTTCTGTAAAACAACTCCGAGCCATAGTGAATTCCGGGAATAATCTTGAAGAGAGATGTACCCTGGTTAATAGGGGAACTCTATAAACTTGCGTGTCGTAGTCTTTCTTTTCTCATTGCTTACCATCTTAATCTGTGAGTCGCGACACATCTTGAAAGATACGAGCTGTGAGAGAGCGAGATTGTACGAACGATCAAGCGGGAAGGATTGAGCTGGATCTGCAACATCTCTGTTTTTTTTAAAAAAAAATTGTTATTTCTATTGTTGAAGTAGCCGGTCACTGCTTCTCTTTTCAAAGCTTAACAAATTATTGTTATCCAGAGATTAGCTGTAATCTTTTATTTAGGAACTTTCTCTGACTTAACAAGGAATGTAATTAAATCTAAGAAAAATTCATGCTTTATTCGACTCTTTTTATTGTTGATTTTTTCGGATAGGGAGCTGATAGTCATGAAAGACGTATTTGAATCCGAATAGTTCACTCTCTAGCCGCCTCAAACCATTCAGAAGCTTCTTGTTATACAAATAGATAATCTGTGATCGGCTTAAAACAAGACCTTATATTTTTCGGTCTATAATCAATGAGGCTGGTGCACAATCTTACACTCCCATGTTCAAGAATCCCAACTTTCTTCCTCCAGTTTTATATACTTCCTAGGAACATAGCATCATCTCTCATTTTTCAGACCAAAGTTGTTCACAAGTCAACTGTGTGTTTAGAGCAATTTTGATACTATAATTTATCTCGTTCACGTCTGTAGTATTACCATTTACCACCAGCAAAGTCTGCACGATTTTCTTTGGAAAATGAAAGATTTCGTAGTGAATGTATATTGATAGTCGCTGACTCCAATATGAAAATTGTAATTACTCTATTCCATAAAAATCTCCTAACTTAGAACTCAACATTATCTCAACGTTCTTGAAAATTGTAATTACTCTATTCCATAAAAATCTCCTAACATAAAAATCTCCTAATAGTAGCAAATACCATTCCGGGAAATGTTCTAACCAAAGCTCCGGCACCAGCGGAAGCAAAACTAACTCCATGTTTTAATGTTATGTTCTTGGTATTATTGTAAATGCTCTGTTTTGTTCTGAATATAGTAGCAATTGCTCTGTTTCTATTTACCCCCCTCGATTTCAATTCGGTGGCAAGCTTTTAGTCAAGCTGAAAATTAGTCTTGAAACACAAGAAACTAGGATTCTTAAAAAAAAACAAAAAAAAAATTATGAAGCCAAATGCTTCACAATATTTACATAACTATTTAATTGGGCGAAAGATTGAGGTAGAACAAAAAAAAAACAAACACCCCGGATTATGAATCTTAGGTTCATGATTTAGAATTTGTAAAACTTGTACTAACGATCGAGAGAACCCAAAAGTTATAAGATTATAAAAAAAGAAACCAAAGGGGCAGCATTTGGCTTTTTTTTTTTTTTTTGTTCAACGGCATTGGGCTTTTACATCGATCATTAATAGCTTTGATCAAAGCCGACGTTTTCCAAAAATGGTCAAAATAACGAATAAAATATCATGGGAAATTGTAAAAACAGATAAGTCTCTTCTCAGAGATGTATAAAAGAAAGCCCTAAAGAGAAAGAGATAAAGAGAGAAAGTGAAGTTTTTTTTGCAATGCAGATTTCTATCAAGACGTTAAAGGGAAAGAGCATAAACCTCGAGGTTGAAGATAGCTCCAACACTATCGACCTCAAGATCCATGGGGAGCCGATACGTGAATTGGTTTTGCGACTGGGACCAGGTCTTGGTCGGGGTGCAGCAGCCATGACTATTTTTGTAAAGACTCTTACGGGCAAGACCTACACCTTCGAGGTTAAGGGGTCCGATACCATTAGAGAAGTCAAAGCAAAGTATGAGGAGATTGATGGCGTTCCAGTGGAACATCAGAGGCTAATATTTGCAAGCAAGTAGCTCGAGGACAGTCGCACGATAGCTGAGTACGATATCACACATGAGTCGACCCTTCACATAGTGTCTAGACTATGCGGTTGTTAAATGTTTTTTTTTTCCAACGTTTATTTTATCTATGTCATTTAAAGACTTGGTGTTTAATTTCTCTAACGTGAGAAGGAGAATAATGTTTTTTTTTAAAAACACTACCATTTCAGAAATAGTATTTCTACGTTAATACCAAAGAACAAGACTCATATATCAGCAGGAAAACGATAAGACATTCTCATCCAAAATCAAAGCCAAACGTATATATCTAAAACGTAGAATCATATTGCTCTGTTTTGTACTTAACTTTCATTATCTCTATTCAGGCGGCCCTGCGCCGGTCATTACCTTCGAAATGGCCTAATTAAAGCTTTACAAATTATTGTGGCCTAATAGTTTTTAGTTTTAATTCGATTCGTTCTACTATAATTAATATCTTAGTAATCTCAGTTAATCCTTTAAATTTTCGTTCTATACGTTTTTCATTCTTTAATTTTTCTATGAAATATCTATGTATATATGTTAACAATCAAGTTTGAAAATAATAATAAACCTTTTCTTTTCCTATCAAAGAACAAGATAAGAAGAAAAAAAAATAGCATTTCCAAAATAAAATGTTACTATGCATAAAAGTAGTTATGGATGTTGATTTAGAAAAGAGTATCGTTCCAATTAATATTACAATGATGTTAAAGCTGTTTAAAATAAGAGTTGGGAGGGTTGTCAAACTCTTATTAATCTATTATCAACTAAATGATAGATCTATTGTCAATATTTTTTAAAAATATTGACAAAGGCTATTAATCGTTAAAAAGGAATTGGGGGGGGGGGGTGATTATTCTGCGATCCAAAAGAACTATCTTCAATTACACAAAGTATAATTCAACCGAAATTACCTATGCCGGGGTATATAGACCGGTGTTGAAGAACTATATTTTACGTTGATGCCTGTCTTAAAAAGGATGAAGAAAAAGAAAACTAATAAGCTTTTAGATCTTAGGCTCATTGATAGAACTAATAATTCAATAACAACGCCCCCCTTTAATTTCTTTTAGTAATGAGTAGTGACTGAACACTAAAGAAAAATAAAAATTGCAAACGGCAAACTGCAAAATCGGAAATCCGGAAAAGAAACCAAAGGGCGGCATTTCCCTGTTCACAACGGTCGATCACTATAATAGCTTTAGACTTTAGTCAAAGAGACGTTCAAAATAACTAATAAATGATGTTACGGGAAAATTGTATAACAAATAAATCACTCCCAAAAAAAATAAAATAATAAATAAATAAATAAATCACTCCCCAAATATGTATATATATAAAAGCAAACTCTAAAGAGAGGGAGAGAGAGAGCAGAAGTCGGGCTTGCAATGCAGATTTCGATCAAGACGGTGGAAGGAAAGAGCATAAACCTAGAGGTGGAAGATACCTCTAAAACCATCGACCTCAAGATCCATGGACCCACCCGTCAACTGGTTTTGGATCTGGGTCCGGATCCTGGTCCGGATGCAGTCATGCGGATTTTTGTATCGACTATAAAGAACAAAACGTTCAACCTAGAGGTGAAGGGGTCCGATACCATTAAAAAAGTCAAGACCATGATCCATGATCAGGGGGTCCACCAGTGGACCAGATGAAATTGAACTATCTTGGGACGAAGCTCAACGATTTTCGCACCGTAGCTGATTACAACATCAAGCCGGACTCGAATCTTGTCATTATGCAGAGTGGTTGCATTTGCTAAATTTCTACCTTTGTATTCCCAAAGTTTAATCAGTACTTTTCTTAGAGTTTCTGTAATCAGTATTCTCTGGAGTTATATTTGTTTAGACCATTGAAAAAATAGAACGAAATATTTAATTCTAATTATAAGAATAAAATAAGAGTTCAGATAAGTATCGAATGTACGGTTGGAAAGTTATTCTTTTAGTTAAAGTCACCTAAATTGTTTTTTTGTTCATCACTTCATCTGATGAGCACATGTGCATGCTAAAGAAAGATATTTACATATACTATATAACTTCATTCATAAAGATTCAGAAGACAAAAAAAAAGTAATGGGCGTAATTAGATTGTAAGACGTATTGATAGAGTAAAGTTTATACAAATATTTATTTCTTTTACACGGTCGAATAACAAAATTCTCGGAACCAACCCAAAGAGGCATTTGGTTTTCTTCACAACGTTTGATTTTTAATAGCTTATAGTAGTCCACATGACGATTTCCCAAAAAAGTTAAACAAATGAAAAAAAAAAATGTCATGGGAAATTGTTTTCACAATTTCCAAAGAATGAATCTATAAAGGAAGCCCCTAAAAGTTCAGATCTTCTTACGCATAATTATTTTGGAAGTGTTTGAGATTAAATCGTCCAAAGGAGAAAAATGCGACATATTCTAGATGTTGTAATGTGATATGGTGTGTCCGACTTGAGCCCAGAGGTTGAGGTATCCAACACTATCAAAATCGTCAAGGACAATAAAGGCGTTCCAGTGGCTGATCAGAGGCTTGTCTTTCACGGTAAGCAGCTTGAGGATGGCCGCACCATAGCTAATTACAACATCGAGAATTAGTCGATCTTTAACATAATCTTTCGTGTCGCTCTAATATGCCATAAATCTGATCAAAATTTTTGTTTTGTTTGTTCTCGTATCTCTCTTTTCTTTGAATTTAAGGCAATCTGATTGGGGGCCGGATCTGGGGACAACCTGATGAAACATCCGCTTATAGTCCCCAAAATTTTTCTTTAGTTATTTACGAATTTTTCAGCCCCAAATCACAAAAAAAATTTATTTGTTCTTAAATTGTTTCTAGCCCCCAAATTCTCAGATCCGAATAATCTTAGTTTTTCCAACATTCTTTGACACATTTTTTTCCCATTTGTTTTTCCTATATGGTACTCGATAATGGATAACTTGTGCGTTTGTATCGTACGTCAAACTGATTTTTGGTTTCTTTTTAAAGTCATGATTAGTTTTTTTTTTTTGGGCCCAAGCAACTGTCATCGTAACTCAATAAGCTCGTTTTTTGCTTCCAGTTATCTTACTCATCCCATCACATTCACCAGTTCTTGCTATTATTAATACAAAGAACATGATACGACAAAAAAAAAAGAACATGATACGACTAGACAAAATAGTAATTACCTCTTTTGTTGTCATAATTATCTATCAACTAATTATAATTTAAAACGTTATAAAGTAGGTTATGAATCTTGTGATCGTATATATGGTAATTTAACAAGTTTATACACTTAAGGCGGATGACGGACGTTATCCAAATAGGAAAAAAAGGAATAAATAAAACAAATTCTTAAACTCGCTCAAAAAGAAAAAAAAAAGTAGGATATGATAGTATATATGCATTATACACCGTCTATATTCCGTATCTTTGATAAGAGATAGTCTTCTGTCTACTTTAGTACATCTACCTCTAGATCAGGGTTAAAAAGGAGTTTTTTTTTTTCCTTCCAAACTTTATCGAAGGAGACCATAAAGAGAGACGGAGAGGTCGGTTTGTTTTGGAGTTAGGTCTGAGGTTTTCAATTCTGTACATTTCTTTTTTCACTTGTTAACTGGTGCAATATAATGCATATTTCTATCGAGACGGTGAAAGGAAAGAACATTAACCTAGAGGTTAAGGATAGCTCCCAAACCATCGACCTCAAGATCCATGGACCCACCCGTCAATTGATCCTTCGTCCGGGTCCGGGTCGGGATGCAGCCATGATGAATTTTTTATCGACTTTTGAGGGGGAAACATTCAGCCCAGTGGTGAAGGATTCCAGACCATTGAAAAAGTCAAGGCTATGATCCATGATCTAGGAGGCCCATCAGTGGACCAACTCTGATCTTTCATGGCATGAAGCTCGAAAACACTCGCACCTTAGCTGACTACAACATCAAAAGAGGGTCGAACCTTGTCATTATGTCGCCTCTTTGCGGTTGCTAAAACTAGGGTTGGAGCGCGGATTTTATTTTATATTTTTATGTGTTTTATATTTTTATATGTTTTAAAAAAAAAATAATCTGTTGGATAAATTTTTTATAGTTTAATAGTTTTTTTCTATATTTGCATTGTACAATCCTTATTAGTGTTTGTATATAATAACAAATTTTCTTAATTATATTATTAATTTCTGTTAATTTTTTTTATTTCATGTACTTTTATATATTGTCTGTCACTATTGTGTGATTTTTATTACAGTATTAAAATTATTTTTTTTTGTTAATGCTCTACACGTTACGCAGTAATAATTTTTAATCATTTATTCTTACTTTTTTTGAAATTTAAACATCATATTTATCCATTTTTGTTAATTTTTTTTTCTTCTTCATTTTCATATTTTCATATTTTGATATCTTTATCTTCTGTTCTCTTTCTTTGTTTTCATATTTTTCAAAATTCTTTTTCATCAGCTTTGTGTTCTTTTTTTTATTATCCATATTCCTTTTCATGGTCTTTAATTTTTATTCTTTTTCATCTTTTTAATATCTTCTGTTTTTTTTGTATTTTGATTTTTCTTCTTTTTTCTATTTTTCTTATTATTTTTCATTATTTTTGCTTTTTTTTAATTATCATCATTTTAAAACATTTTTCAATTTAATAATTTATTATTTTTAAGAATATATATATATTTAATCCAGTTAGTATTACAATGTTTTTAATTATTAATATCTAATTATCACTTATTTTTTATTTATACTATAATTTTTTTAATTTAATTTAATTTATACTAAATATATTAATAACAAACATTAATATATTTATTAAATGCATACTTTAAATATACTTAAATGTTAAGTTTTATGAGTTTGCTGATGTGGATAGTCTAGATGGAGAGAAAACTCTCTCATTATATAATAGTTGGCTCTGCTTCATGAAACATTGATTTTTTTTTTAGAATTTTTTTACACTTATGAAACATTTAATTCTTACTTTTTCTATATAATTTTTTTTTCTATAACCAAATAACCATGCGACATTGATTAAACACAAGAAAAGCGCCTCACAAAAAAATATGATAAAAGCTAGATCCGATATTGCGGCAAGGAGCTCCAAGACGGTCACACCTTAGCCCACTACAACATTCATTTGAAGTTGCATCTGAGGTAGCGTCTCATCTGTCTTCAGTTACGGGATTTACATTTTTTTTTCTTTCTCGCTGGGTTTTTGCTCTTTTGGGTCTTATTTTCTTCCTATTTGTATTGACTCTAAACGCAGAGATTAGGGTTCGATCCTATGAACAGTACTTCATCAGTTTTATATTAAAGTCTATAATTAATCATCTCTTATTCAAATAAAATTGAATGTGCAACAAGGGAGAAAGCTAAGCACATGACATGAAGAACGTTTTCTTGAGGATCGATCACTCTTGTGGATAAGTAAAAATCATCGAACATAGCAACATTTTTATTTTTAGTTTATATGAAGATAAAAATATTTTTAGAAAAAGTTAACCAGAAAACTGAAATATTTGTAATTTCAAGCAAAATATGACTTATATTGTAAAGGACTAAGATAGAATCATACCAATACGCCAAAAAACACACACACACATACACACATTAATTGGTAATGGAATATGGTTGTTCATGTTTAGCCCATTGAACAGTCAGTAATGGGACTTTTAAGTTTTACTAATATATCATTTTGGCCCAATGAATTGGTATATGAATGTCAATAACATGGCCTATGCTATTTTCTTGGATAGTATACCAAAGAGGCACAAGTGTCTTTACAACGGTCGAGACTCAAGAGAGGCGACGTTTTCCAAAGCCGTCAAAAGAATAAATGAAATCATCATGGGAAATTGTTAAACAAATAAATTCCACCAAAGGTCTACAAAACGAAACCCTAAGAAATTTTTCGGGTCAAAGTTGAATCTTCTTTCTTTTGGGCTATAAAGTTGGATCATTTTTGGTCTTTCAGTTTTATGTAACAATTTCCAAATATTCTTGTGAACCAATTTTCTTTGATTTACTCTCACTTGTGATTACTACGTAGCAAAATGCAGAGTTCTATCAAGATTGTGAATGGAAAGACAACGATCAATCTAGAAGCCAATAGCTCCAAAACCATCGACCTCAAAATCGATGAAGTCCCGACCCGTAGTTATTTTAGACCGGGGCGTCGTCATGGTGAAGACATGCATATTTCTAAAAAGACAGTGGATGGGAAGACGACTATGACCATAGAGGTTGATAGCTCCAAGACCATCGACCTCAAAATCAATGAAGACTCGACCCGTTCAAATCTTCGACCGGACGTTCGTCACAAAGAATCCATGCAGATTTTTGTTAAGACTTTGACAGGGAAGACCATCACCTTAAAGGTGGAAAGCTGTGACACCATCGACAACGTTAAGGCCAAGATCCAGGATAAAGAGGGCATTCCGCCGGACCAGCAGAGGCTGCTTTACGCTGGCAAACAGCTTGAGGATGGTCGGATATTGGCTGACTACAACATCAACAAGGATGCGACCATCCACTTGGTACTGCGTCTCTAAGACTTGACGGCTAATTTGGTGTTTTATGTTCGTATCTTTCTTTTCTTGTAATACAATGTCCAACTAGTGGAGTTTAATAAAGAATCAAAGCTTTTAATTTGTGTCTATTGTTTGTTAAATTTTTTCTTTTTTTTGTATCATTTCTTAGTTGTCTTTCTGATGTGTGCTTTACTTCAGTTGTTACTTGTTGGCTGCGTTGAATTGGTTAAAAATAATGAGTATCTCCTTTTGTTTTGTTTTGCATTTCCTTTAATTTACCTGTTATGGGTCTATAAATTAAAATTGAACGTAAACATCCTAAAAGAAAGAAATAGCCTTTGTTGAACAGTAGGATAGTTAAATCAAAAATAAAGCACGAACTCGGGTAAATTAGGGAAAAAACGAACGAAGTACATTGTTTTGAATTTTTCGATCCATTAACTAACAAAATGGTTCACCAAAAAACATTTATATATATATATATATATATATATCAATGTATATTAGTGTCATACATTCAAATCAAGGAATCTGAAATAATTTGTTGATACTGTATGGGCCAACCACTAGAGTATCCGACATGTGCCCACCATTCCAAATTAGATTTGCAAATTGCTTATAAGTATTTTGTGTGAGATGAAGTGAATCCCAAAATACATAATCACTAGGATTCTCACATACTTTATATTCCTTCACGATTCTCTTCCCTCCACAGCTGAATACTCCTCTCCACTTCCCTGTTCCACAACATGCTTCTTCTCCTTCTTTAAACCCTTTTACAAATCACATAAAATTATGAATATATATTTTCAATTTTTGATGAGCCCTTTTGTGAATATTCAAAGTGCGTCCAATGTTTAGAAGGATTCAAAAAACGCCCACCAAAATTCACAACGAACCCACTCACCGAATTTAGAAGGATGATGCATTCTGAGTCTAAGGCTTTTGTTCATGTCAAAGAGGGAGAACTTGAAGCCCTTGACTTGTCTTTGCATCTTAAACAAGAGATTTAAAAGAGCTTTGTTATGCATTTCTGCTAATCTTGAAGCGTCTCTTAAGCAAGACTCATTCTTTGGTTCTAGTATTCGAAGAGCTGGAAAACAACCCAAATCCGGGACATTCAAGAACCCGAATTTCCTACCTCCAATCATGTATATTTCCTGTTACAAAACCATATAACCAAAATGGAATGCAAAAATAAGGTTTATATGATGATAGTAATAATGATAATGATAATGATGATGATGATAATGATGATTGTGAACTTACATGAAGGAAAGTAGTCAAATTACCAATGACAATGTCAACATGTTGAGACATTGAAATGGAAAGAGATTGATTGGTCAAGAAAGGGCTTGAGTAGTCATTGCTCCCTATGCTTATCAAGTAGACAGCTCTTGAGATTCTCTTCTTGCTTTCTTCTTTACCAAATTTTCTCCTCCACAATCGCTCCACTTTCTTATAGTGATCCAATTGTGTTCTCAAACTTATCACCTTAAATTAATTATTCGGAATTGGTCACCACTTTGATTAACATAGAATAATACATCTCACCTAACCTTAAAATATAACATTTAGTTGTCCTAAATAAGTAAGTGGATGCTACAACTTTTCTTTAATAATAAAGGAAATTTTATTATAAAGCCAAATAAAGCATGTAAAAATACAAAACAACTCGTAAAGAGATTGTTCAACTAATTTAGCCACAATAATCGGGTCAAAGATCAAAATCCACTGATCCATATGGAATCATTTTACTAATATTTTAATATATTAAAAAAAATTAACTTCAATCATATTTCTAGATCAATCAATCATAGCAAACTTCCATGTGCCGTGTGTGTACGATATATAGATGAAATATAATGCAAAACTATTGAAAAATCCAAAAAAAAAAGATAAATAAACTATACGTACCGAACCTTGGAACGTTTCTACGAGAGCACCAGCTCCAGCAGATGCAAAGTTGACGCCGTAAAGCTTCTTTTGACTATCTCCCGGTTCCAAAAACGGCGGAATTAATGGCAAATTCGCATATTCCGCTATCATTAACGAACATTTCCGTCAATATAATATTATTTAAATAGGCCAAGAGAATAATAAAAATATATAAAACCTTCTCACCGATGAAATCGGAGATGAGACGGCCGTCGGAGAATCTTCCAGTGGGGAGGCCAAAGAATGTTTGACCATAAGGTGGGAAATTAGCTTGGTCAAGTGTAGTGGTATTTATGTAATTATTGTTTCCTGCATCCAAGAATGAGTCTCCGAAGATGAACAAAGCCGTCACATTATTATTGTCACCGTCGTGAGACAACTTTGCTTCCGATTCTCCGGCGAGAAAAAGAGTGTTTGAAGAGAAGATAAAGAAGAAGAAGAAGAAAGAGGATATAATTCTTCTTGTGACCTTCTCCATTAATGTTGACTCTCTCATTCACCACAAAAATTCTAAAGACTCGTGTGTGTGTTTGTGACTTTGTACGTGCATATATATAGACCAAAGTATTTGCTTTTCTAATCTAAACTTGTAGACATGTCGACAAGACTATGTATATATTTTATAATATAAAAAAAAGTGTGTGTCCTCATTTATATACAAAATTACTTTTAAAGAAGTCAAATGTTTGGGTCTTTTTTTAACTCCAAATGGTTCGATTATTATTATTAATTAATGTATCACCGTAAGATATCAACAGTTTTTGGAGAAAACAAATGATACTTATGTATAGTTTAGTTATCATTCATGCACAATAATGTTTCATTTGGATTAGAGTTTTAATAGTAAGACAATGTCAACAGTAATGAGAAAACTGAAAACATAGTTATCTATCAACTATGTCTTTCTTTTCTTCTCCATAAACTTGTTTTCCAAAAATCAAATTAAATTTCCTGATATGAGAATATGTCTTCCCTTTCTTTTGAAAACAATTTTTTTTGTTACTAACTACCACCTATATATGGCTATAAAAACACGTATATATCTATGTTTGTGTGCATATATATTAATATACAGATGGGTGAAAAAGACAGAAAGAAGCAGAAGTGTCCAGAAGAGTGATTCAACTTTTTTGTTGTCTCATAAAAAAGGGTCACGAGAAAGTCACAAACTCACCGGTTACCATTTGCAAAGAAAGTGCAACCTTTAGATTCTTCTTCTGCCGTTTTTAACGACGTCGCTTCGGCGTTTTTTTCTTCTGGATTCATTGTATGAATAACAAAAAGTGGCTCCCTTTTCTAGGCAAGCAATGTCAAAAATTTAAAATTATACACGCAATCTCACCGATTTCTGATCACAAAATTTACGATAACCGGTCCCTGTTTTTTGCTTCGGTTCGACTCTTACCGGTCCCTGTTTTTTGCTTCGGTTCGACTCTTACCGGTCCGTAGTAGCATCCAGATAAAACAGGGGAGTAGTTCAACTTCAACATATTAATTAATCCATGACAATGTTAAACAAATTTTGAAACACAAACTCGAAGATTCACTACAAAGAGTTCGAAACATTTTTAAAACAAGAAACTACAGAATCTTTTAAAATTAAGCCTCTATTTAAACTTCATCAGACCCTTATTAGCATGGAAAGAGGTAGAGGTTTATGTTGCAATGCAAACAAGCTTCAGGTGTCTTATAACCATTCCCCAACAACAACTCCTGAGAGACACAGAGACAGCAAGAAGATGAAAATAACAGATTTTAAAAAGTTTGGAGATTGATGTTGATGCGGGAGACTCACTAACACGCATGCTTATTTACATGAAACTGGATCTCTTTAGAAGACTCCTCCAATCATGGAATCGATCTCATCAATGCTCCATAGGTCCATAGGGTTTAAACCATTGTCCTGAGTCGCCACACCATCTCCGTTGAGGAAATCAAGTGAAGACTCCCATTCAGTGTTGTTGTAAGGTGTCTCAAAATCCATGGACTTGAGCTTCTTAGCTGGATTTGCTTCCTCGACAAATACAGCAGAGTTGTTGTTGTTGTTGTTGTTGATAAACGCAGAAGATATCTCAGGAGTTATTGGAGCTTGACCGCTCCAACCAAACTCAGAACAGTCGAATGAATTACTACCCTGGTCTGAGCTGAAATACTGATGATACCCATTACCTCCTACATCGATGGTGTTTTTCAGACCAAACTGATTGTTGCTGTTCACTTGGTGTTTCTCCTCCACGAAACACATATTGTCAAAGGAGTTGTCGAAGTTCTGAACCAAAGCTGGACTTGGATTTGAGTTTGGTTTAGCAACTGGTTTCTGAGAACTGACCTTCGCAGGGCGTTTCTGAGAGACGGTAGGGTTTTCCTCTGGGAAATTCACCTTAGCTTTGGATCCACGGATTCTTCTTGCTGCAGCATCGTAAGCTCTTGCAGCTTCCTCAGCTGTCTTGAAAGTTCCAAGCCAGATTCTTGCACCTTCCCTTGGATCACGAATCTCAGCAGCCCATTTGCCCCAAGGACGTTGCCTAATCCCTCGGTACTGATTCTTCCTCTTCCTCTTTGAAGATTTCTCAGCTTGTCCTTTAAAGTCTGCAACTTTCTTACCAAAGGCTGAATCTGATGGTGGAAATAACAACAAACAACAGAGTTCTTAGACGACTCATCAACAGATTCAAATCAATTTCACCACACGAATCAAGCCTCGTATGCCCCTAAACAATACTCAAAATCCTAAGCATAACGATATTCAATGAATCGATAACTCTAAGCTGATAAACCATTAAAGGTCAAACTTATTTCTCAAACTTCAATTTCACACCAAAGCTACCGAGCCTTGATCATGATAGCTCAGAGTAAGCGATAGGAAAAGCAATAAAAATCTCTAATTATTTACCAGAAGCTGCGGAGGAGACGACGGGTTTCGGAGACGCGGTGAAAACAAACGGTTTCACATCGGCGAAGACATCATCGACATCGAAATCATCATCGCAATCAATGGACGAATCATCCTTGAAACCCTGGAAATCAGCCTCGAACTCATCGTCAAGATCAAAGAAATTCGAACGCTTCTTCGAGCTTCTCTTCAATCCCTTCACATTCTTCTTCAGATCCGGCCAGATAAATTCGCTAGTAACGCGGCGAGACCTCGGCGGCGGAATGAAATCGGAGATTATAGCTCCTCCACACATGGCGGCTCACACAAGCGTCACTCTTGAGGGTGTAAATGTTTAGAAACAGAATCTTAGCGGCGAAATGTAAAATAATTAACTCTTTTTGGGGTTTATCTTTTCTTTTCCTCTCTCTTCAGCAATTTGCTTTGTTCATCAGAAAAAAAAAGCGTAAGAGAAATGGCCTTTTTAGCTTAAGATGAAGAAAGCGTTATTTATTATTATACCCTAAACCTGAACTGTTATTTACGATACTACCCTTCTACTTTACATTCATTAACCTCAGATAGTCAGATTTGTCGCTGTTGATTAGGATTGTGGTAACTTGGTAAGTAAGTAAATACTCTAAATAAGATTAAATCTAATTGTTAGAAAACAAGAGTAAATTTTAGTCCTTTTTGACTGCTGATAGAAAAATAGTCTAAAGCATTTCATACCTAACGGCTAACGTTAGGACATGTGAAGTAGTGAGCACTCTTATGGGGTTCATCAGATTAAATAAATATTTTTTTTTTCGTTTTGGTGATGAACTCTGGTTAAATTAGAGGTTCTAGTATTAAACCCGTTAATGGGATTCATCCGAATATTTTATTATTACTTTTTTTGAAAATATTTTTTGTAATTAAAATAAAAATCACTTATTAAAAAAAAGAATACAATATATTGCAGATGAATACAATTTATTAAAAAAAAATTCAAACACACAATTTTTAAAATATATTGATATATTAATAAATTCAAACTATAACATAATTCACAAAATACATTGAATTGTTTTCAAGAGTTTAAGCGTGCTCCAAAGTAGTGGATAACAAAAGAATATAAAAGATAAAGATAGATGAACTAAACCCTAAGCCCTAACGTGCTGCGTGCTGCAACGTACATTCTCGAGCTCTTTCATCAAACCCCGACTTGTCTTCTTTGTACATCTTCGCTTTCTCTTCATCGTAGTAGTCCCCCTCACCCAATTCTGGGTTGCTCAGCATCTCATGAATTTTTGTGAGAATCTTATGGATGGTGTAATTGGGCGAGAAGTAATCGGTAGTGAGCATCCGTAGGAAGATATGTCCACGATCTCCTACGTTGGGGTGAAAGACCTTTGTTCTGAAGAAGACCTTGGGTGGCTTGGGTATTCAGGAGGAAAGTGCATGGCAATTTGGAAGACTCCGTTCTCGTAAGGCGATTCTGCTGTCCAAAAAGCAGAGCCTCCCAATAACTCATATCTCCATCAACGGGGCCTAATCAAATGTGTCAAAGAAAAAAAATTAGTAGATTACAAGTCTAAACTCGGAAACAACATATTTAAACATAATACTACAACGAAATACATGTACTGTATAGCGGGCTCTTAACCTTCTCAATTTCCTTTTTCTGCTTCGTGAGGGATTTCTCCTAGTACGGGACTGAACTGTTGTTTGCATCTTCTGCCCAAAACAGAAGGGGATCAGAACAATACAAACAGAATGGCAAACAACTACACGATTGAGTATACACCTAAACTACAACAATTTCAGTTCAACATCACCTAAACCTAAACCCGAATGATGCCACTCACATAAATCAAATCAGATCACATATTTCAAACAGCAAATCATACTACATATATGAAGCATCATCGATATACCCTCTAAACCTAAACCCAACTGAGGCAAATGGAAGAAACCGCAAATGAAACCCAAAAATAAACCGCAATGCAAGTGTAATAAACCGCAAATGAAACCCAAAAATAACGGCACACAAAATTTTCCCCAAATTTCATGAAACCTTAAAGTTCATCGCAACAAATCCATCACATATATCATCAAGCATGCAATCCAGTCCGAAATAGAGCTAAACCGCAACAAAAACTATGTTTTCTACCAAAATTGCAACCCCGAAAGAAAAGCCCCAAAAATTTTCCCCCATATAAAAAACCATAATTTCGTCGATTTGAAATTCACGTAAATCAGTCAAATACCATACGAAAAACCGATTACGGTATCAATTAAGAGGCAAGCATCCGTAATCCACCCAAAATCCCCAAAAAAAAACACCGATTTTGGAATTCCAGTTTTTCCCCAAATATACGAAACCCTAATCCTACGAATTCGTTAAAAAATAAACCGAGAACTGAAGACCAAAGGATTACCTTGACGTTCAGACGGAAACGCGTTGCTACGATTACCAACACACCGGAAAAATTCACCGGTTTGAACGGAATCGACGGATTCTCGAAATATCGCCGGAGAAGGGAACGAGAGAAAGAAAAAATTATCGGGAAAAGAGAATGAATATTGGGCCGATAGTTTTTTTTTCCTCCCCCAAAATTTCCCTGATTTTCCTCCAATCCCCTCAAGACACGTGGATAAGAGACGGGTTCATCAGGTTCAACCGGATGAACCGATCTGTCCAAAATGGGCTTTTTTTCTTTTTTTAAATCAGTTTTGCATATGATTTCGAACCCAAATATGAGGATGAACCCCCACTGGACATGGCCTTAGGTTTGGTGAGTTTTACAAAGGTCTATTTCTTTTACTTTATTTGACAATTTAACTCATATTAAACTATAATGTAAATTTAAATATATGAAATCGATTCAATCTTTTGATAAATTAGTTTGAGGCAATCTTTATTTTATTGTTTTTTACTAGATAATCGGATGATCAATTCCAAATATTAAAAAGGGTAATAATTTTTTTGAATGATGTAACTTAAATGATTTTATTAAAGTATACTGTATGTATATATAGTTATCTGCTTTGAATGTTTTCTTATAAAAGTGAGAGAAATTTTTTATTAGTATTGTTAAAATATTTGTCTATACTAAAAACTATAATAATGTATGTATTATTCTTAGTAAGAATCTAAGTTTTAGATTTATGGTATTTTCAATAATTAATTATTTATAATAAAAAGTAATATACTGATTGAAAGTGAAATTAGATGGCAATGAAGTACTTGTTTGACTTGTTTGTGGCCTTCCAACTAATAATAAACTTTACTAGTTTACCCTAAATTAGGTAGCTGAATTTTATTCCAAAATAAATAAAAAAATTTAAATATCTCTAGATCTGTATTCACTTTTTTTGTCTTGTGATTACTATTTAAAACAATAAAGGATATACTTGTAATACTTTCTCTTGATATACATTGCAGTATTACACAGTAAATACTTGTTGATTTCCACATAGTAGGAGCCAACACACAACAATTCGTTTGAAAAAATTAAGATGAACAAATAAATAAAAAAGTAGAAAGAATTTAAAGTTTAAAGAATATTTACGAATATACGTGTAAAACACGTACGTTTCTTGAAGCTTTTTGAGCAAGTTGATAGGATTGGGTATTTTATGACAAGTTTTTTTGTCGTCTTATGACAAACAAAAAATTAACAATTCTTTGTCGTTTTGTTATATGTAGTTGATGATGCATTCCAATTCATTAATATTCTTAAAACTAAGTTTAAAGCTTCTTTACTAATTTGTTCACTCAGTTAAAACCATTTTTTGTTTGACCAAATCTAAAAAAAATTATCGAAAAAAATATCATGTCATAATCCAATTAATTTTTTTAGTATTTTGAAATTCAAATTTTTTTATCAGTTAAAACGTTTACAAATAGTTAATTATAATCGAACTAACATAGTCAATTTCAGAATGACGGAATTAGGTAATAAAGAAGGGATCATTTGACCTTTGTGTATTTCTTAAAAAATCATATATATTTGTACTTTTTAAAAAATAGATGAAATATTAAAAAATTAACTTAATAAACTCTGTAAATTTGTTCAGAATACATTTTAATTAAAATTTACCTTAACTCGGTCAATTCTCAACATAATAAATTAATTCACTCAAACTAAATTTGTTAGGTCAAATTATAAATTAGGTAATATTCGGTGCATATGCAGTTGTAAAGGAAATATAAATATATATATATATATCTATTTTTGGTAAAATATATTTATATTTGCTATCATTGTTTTACTAGTGTATACAGTATACACATACATCTATTTGTGAATATCATGTATACTGTATAGTTAGTTGTACTGCGTCAATATATAAATAAGTACATTCGTTCATTTTTATCATCCGAATACGTATATTCGTATATATTTTTTTTCGACGTCGTACATTCGTATATAGCGATCAAATTGGGAACGCAAAGACAAGCGAGGTAGGGTCAGATTCTTTTTCCCGGATTGAGACAGGTTCCTAAAATTAGCTTATTTCAAAGACACAAAAGATGATATCATCCATGGTGCAATTATTATTATTATTTTTTTGGATAAAAAGCATGGTTTAATGCCAATTATTTGTTTCACTATTTAATAATTGAAGTAATTATGTACACAGTATTTGTTTCACTATTTTAAGTTTTAACTTTTAATAATTGAAGTAATTATGTACACAGTGTAATCGATTCTGAACTTAGCTTCTCATTAATCAAACTTACGTACAACTTATATTTCTTGGGCCGAATAGCTCGAAGAGTGGGCTTAATAGGTTGAGTTTCTCATTCGCATTTAGTTAAGTTATTGGCCTTTTTTACTTGGACCGATTTTAAAGTGGCCGAGACTCTGAATCTGTTATTCTAACTTTATCTATTGGTAGTAAAAACAGCATTACATATGGAGTCAGATTTCCAGCGTGATGTAACTAAAATTGTTCCTCATGCTCTAATATGTTAGAGCATCTGTATTGGGGGTTCACGAGGGGTTTTAAGGTGAGGTTCATATGTTTTTTTGATTTAAAAAAAATGAAAAAAACCTAGTATACTTAAAACCGGTTGTTAATTAAGAGTTTTTAGAACCATTTTTAGAAGGGTTCATAACTGATGTGTCAACTTCTAATTCGCTGCATCTAGAAAAGAAAAAAAAATTTGATGCTCTCTCTCCTCCTGTACTTTTCTTTGCTTCTTATTTTTTAAACCCTTTATAAGTTCACCAGTAGGTGAAAAATCTCATGGGTTCTAAACTTTTATATAATCAATTTTTTATATTAAAATAATAGTTATGAATCCCTTTATGAGGTTTACCATTGTAGATGGTCTTAAGGATGAAACTATTCATCACAAACATGGTGCATATAAAACCTATGAATCTTTTTTAAGCGGATAAAATTTTCCGTTGTAAATCGTTTTGTAATTGTTTACATAATTAATAACAGCTAATAATAATGTAGAAGAAAGAAACATGAAATACGCTATATTGTAAGCAGATCCCAGAAGTCAGAATACATTCAACACGTGACTAAATCAGGTGTTCATATCTGAGACCAAAGTTGGTTTATGACCATACATAAACAAATATCTCCATGTATAAAAAACAAATCGAATCACAAAGATTTTCCACTAAAAATACTATTTTATCCACTTCATATCCGTCATGCTGAGATCTAATCTGAATATGATTTTGAATAATATCATATTTGCTTTTGATTTGTGAATATGACACTTAAGAAAATTGTTTATCTGATTAAAAGCATCTCGAATGTATAACTTCATATTTTTTTCTAATTTGGAGTAATTCCATTTTTTACTCTTTTTGAGATTGGAATATGAAGTAGGGTTGGAGAGAATCCTCTAAACTCTATTTTACAATAAAATTTGAAGTGGGATTGGAAATGGTGTAAATAAAATTTAACTTCAAACAATCTGATAATTTTGAAAGCCATTATAAAAATAAATAAAAATTCTGACAATTTTAATGTTCTTACTCAATCGGTAGCTATCCCACCTAAGATCACCATATATAAACCGTCCAATTAACATTTGACAATGGAGATACAATTTAATTAACATATCTCTTCTAGATATCTATGTATGTATTAATAAGGTATTTAAACAAACAATAGTAACTAATCAGTGAGGTGGATGATTGCTTTAAGGGACAATAAATAGCCGGCGTCGCCGCCGGAGATTATCCAACAAAATCTGATTTTGGCTTTTACCGGCGCCGGAGTTACAGCGTCTGTAAGAAGCCAACATCAACTTCGTCGAAGCCTCTAATTCTATCTTCTCATCGATCAAAATCTGACTTTCTCTACACTCTCTGCTACAAAATCCTAAGTCTCCTCTGTTTTCACCAAAACAACAAATGAAAAAGAAAAAAACAATTGAGAATAAAAAAAATAATAACAATCTTTATATTATAAATGGGTTTCATAATCTGATCAATCATGATAATGTTAGAGAAAATTTCGTATACCTGTACATGTAAACATCTTTGTCTTGACGGAGCTGTTTCATACATAGATGACACGTTTTGAGGAAACAGAGTTCTGAGATGTTTGGATTGGGTCGGTTCGGTCTCAGGGAAGATTTGATCACTATGTTGTTTAGTTTTTCTTTTGAATCTGTTGTCACAAGTTGTAATCCGACAGAGATTTTAGTCATTCTATCTCTAGCAGGGAATTGAAAATCCAATTACAAAAAGAAAGAAAGAGAGAGAGATGAAGTGGAAGATGTTCCACGGAATAGAATTTGGGAATATATATATTAAGAGGAATTTTCACTGTAGTGATGTGTCTTTTATGTCTCAATTAAAATGTGAGATATTATGACCCCTTTTTTCTTGTCGGAAATTACTACCTTTACTATTTTTTTAATAATAAAAAACACAATACGTTCTCAGGAAATATATTTCAACTAACTAGCAAATAACAGTAAACTCAAATCCAAAAATTTAAAAATATGCTGAAATCCAATATTTATACTGTTGTTGACAAACACCTTGCCAACCTCGGTGTCTTTGAGAATACTTTTTTGTTATCAATTTGTTTGGATTATATCCGAAATTCCAGAATGATTTATTTTCACCTTCACTTATGTCTAATGTTTTCTTTTTCTTTTTGTTACTTTTGAATAATTTAGCACGACACTAATTCCCGAAAGATTGACATGGTAATTACAAGAAAACGTGTTTTGTGAATACATCGCTAGCCGTTAGCTTTGGTACCAGTAACTTACGACCGAGCATTAAAATAATAATTAGCATATTTAAGTCTGTCACGTTTCACATGCTTTTATTTTCAGAACATCATATCACATACATAAAGAAATAAACATAACAGGCCATCCATCACTTCATTTCAATTTACAATAATTGAAAATTTTCAATATCCATCCTGTCCCACTTCTGTTCAACTTTTTTTTAATATACGCTAACAAATTTTTATTATATCAACCAGAGATTTTAAGCTGGTTGTTAGAATGTTCTCTTTTTTGGTAAAGGAAGCTGGTTGTCATATTAGATAAACATAAACCGCACAACATGAACTTTTTATGAACCAATTTCTTCTAATCAAAAATTAAAACCCGCAGTAATTATAGAATATTATATTATTGATGACTTGAGACTTGAGAGTTGAGAGATAAATTTTGAGTAATGATTGCAAGTCACATAATCTCTCTCTCTCCTACCAAAATCTTCTGGATATGCACTAGAAAAATCAGAGACGAGCTATGTCTGTGTATAGCCAAAAAATTGGTGTTTTTAATATCTATACAAGGTAATGAAAGCATTCAGAAAAAGCTTTAGGAAGAAAAAGAAGAATACAGCTTTACTTTACTTACAAGTAAAGCTGAATTAGCTCATCACTTACTACAGATGGAGTGAGAACACCAAGATCAGTGAAGAGCAGAGTCAAGTACTGAGGAGGAGTGTAGTCTCTCGCAGATCTTTCTATCTCAACCTTAGGAGGAACAGGAACATCGAAATCAATAGGTCGCAAGGCCGGTTCTAAGTCTTTTTGATCCAACGGGTAGAGGCGTGCAAACTGCAAGATAACAATAAATTAGATGATGAATCAGAGTGTTTCTGCAACCACATTAAAAATGTTAAGAGTTTTGAGTGTTTACCTTGTAACTCTCTGCAGCTACATAGACTGGTTTGTTCATACTGTGTGCGACAAGGGCGATCTGGTAAGTACCCATCATGTTAATGACCCCGCCACTTTCAACTACTCCGTCAGCTCCAACAAACACCATGTCTACTTCGTCCATGCTATAGGCCACAGCTGAATCAATCAGAAGCTTCACTGGAACATCAAGCTTTGCAAGCTCGTTAGCTAGCAGTACTCCTGTTTTATCTGGCCTTCCCTCTGGGTTTTGTTTCCATGAGTGCAACGGAAATACGTGATTGTTGGTTAGCAGAATCGAATAAAGATAACCGGATAACGACAGAAGAACAGATCGATCTCAAAGTTTGAAGAAAAAGCACCTGTGCACAAAACTCGAAAGAGTTTCTTGTTTTGAGCTGCTGTCTTTAGTATTTCGAATACAACTCTGGAGAATCCATGGACAAGTATAGTACACCCATCAAATATGAAATCTTGACTAAGCATTGCAATTATCTTTCGGGCCTGCAGAAGAAATGCATTACCGTTCAAACTCTTCTTCTACTTACTAATCTATATGTGTATGCAATTTCCATTCTAAGAAAACAACTGACCTTGCAAGATATTTCCCCAAACTTCTCAGCACGTTCAAGCACGCGTGATTTCGCTGAGTTGAAGTCCTCAAATTCTAAGGCAGATGTTCTAGTCACGTAGCGCATGAATAGATCACATCCTGCTGTTAAAGATATCGAGGTTGTGTCCCATGACTGGAAAATTGAAGGCAATCTTAAATTTTTAGAATTCTCCATGAAAATTATTCAAATCTACAAGTTGAGCATGACTCAGATTATATAGTATATGATACTATGGATCAACAAATGCACTAATCGCAGAATGCAATGCCAAGCTACAGGTTCTCATATAGGTTCAGTCCAATGTCACGATCACATCAACCATTTAGACGTCCCTAAGTTATCGTCAGAGAATGAAGCAAAATATTCAATGCTTAAGTTGCAAACTAATAGCATATTCGCGAAAGATTAAAGCAAAGGCTGAGTAAGCAATAACAACAGCGAGTAATTCAAAACTCGAACCCCAAATTCCCAGACAAAGAAGAAAGACGCTTACTTTCAAGGTATCAGAAGCTTTCTTGAGCTCGATTTCAAGTTCCATCATAGTAGTCGCTTCGCTAGCCCTAATAACAGCCGCAAGAGCACGAATCGCCGCGACAGCCTCCGCCAAATCGGGCTGCTGCCTCCAACTGTTAAATTCCTCAATCACGCTAAAGGGTCTTCCCGCGACGGGAGAATCCTTGTCGGGATAGCGACGAACGGCGGCTTGCGCCTGTTCCAGCCAATCGCTGGTCACGATTCCATGGTGCGCCGCTCGGGTTTGGTAGTAAGCCGAAATGGGATTGGGGTTAGGGTTTTCGTCCGCCATTGAAGCAGAAGGTGAAGGTGGAGGAGGAGAATCGATCGACGGAGTTAGAGAGATGGGTTTGTTGTTCTGCTGTTTATCGAGTATGAAGGAAGCCGATCTTCTCCACATTTTGTGTGAAATCTTCGAAATCCCAATTTCAAGCTTAGAGATTTTGGGGTTTATGCTTTGTAATCACGTTTAATTCTTCTTAAAACATTGTAATTAACAAAGTAGTATCACCTGGATCCTCATATATTTTGTATATTTTATTTACTACCTTAAAGTTACAAAAGAGATCAATCTCACCCAAAAACGTAATCACAATTTACATTTGATAAGACTGTGAGCTATGACAATACCCATTATAAGAGAATGATCTACTTGTGGCTCCACCACCATCGTCAAAACGTCTTCTCCAAAATCCAAACCCTTAATATTTGATTGCTTCTTTCTAACTTCTGCCATTAATCTTCCTGATCCATCCTCAATTGCAAAAACCGATCCATGGTTTACAATCTTATAACAAGACTGTTTATCATCTCTACTTGATCCCATTACAATTTTGTAAGACGAAGATGAACCTCGTGGTGAAATCTTGAAATTCTTTCTTATCTGAAATCTTGCTCCGGTTGAGTTATACCCTTCACATGATTTGAATAATCCCAATTTCTACATACACATAACAATGACTAAGTTAATTCAAGAGTTTATCAAGAAATATGATTTCTATAATAATAACGTTACACAGATGAAATGTTTATTACCTTTTGGCGTAATGTAAACAAGACTTGTCCGTATAAATCCATAAAGTAAACTTCACCGCAACTCTTGGAATTATAATTATCCACTCGATAGATTAAGTTTCCTTTTGAATCAAAAACTGTGCAGCCTTTGCTATGGAACACAAGAGATCTCATCCAAATCGTGAAACTCTCTTGCTCCAACGTCAAGTACGGCGAACTCATATCTTCACCGGCGCCGGAGTCCACCGGTAATGGTTGATCAGGATGAATCTTCACCATGTTCTTCGCCGGGAGAATCCAAATACGGTCGTTGCAAAGTATTTGCATATATTGAATTTATTTGGCTCTGATTGATAGTATATGCACTCTTCGTATTTATACTTTCTAGTTATTTGTAAGTCGGTCTATGGTTGAATTAAAATGGATACGAAGCTCTTACATCCACATGTTCAATGTGAGATGCGAACAATAAATATGAAAAACAAAACAGTTAACGACGTTAACTATTTAAAATATTATACAACCAAGTTATGTACATGTACAGTCGTTCTCTTATTTTGTTATAGAACATGTATAGTCGTTCTCACGTGGATAATGTGAGATTCGAATAATAGACGAATGCACATACAATACAAGTATACATTAATATATATTATCATTTCAATTATTAGTTTTGGTTTGGGTATATAATTATTAGTTGAGAGGCTTAGGTCTACTCGCTGGTAAATGCTGACAGTTTCTTGGAACGATAGTGCACAAAAACAGTTATGACTTGGCAGATAAACTCTTCAAAACTGTTTATTTATAGATATTTTCAAATTTTGGGGTTTTGTTTTTCTCTCTATCTTTGCAGATACATTGTTTGTATATCATTTTTCTGTATTCAGAGAACGCAATTAATCTTTTTTTTTCCCGCAAACGAATTTTTTAAAAAAATAGCTGTCAGAGAAACGTTTTCAGACGCAAGAGAGTGTTTCTTGAGATCACTCTTTATGGGCTTTTACTCTCTTTAATAGCCGATTGGGCCTTAATGTATAATTTGATGTTATTAATCATTACATTATACGAATCCAGAGGCAGCGGAGCCACATCTTTTCATGCATTCGTACTTCTCCCAAGAGCCCATGACCACTACTCTGATTCTATACTCTACTACTCTGATTCTGTACTCTACTATTTTCTTCTTCACCAATTCCAATCATAATTTACTAAACTTACCATCCGTATATGGTTCAATAGTCTAAACTCTAAAGTATAGCTTTTTTTTTGGGTGAATAACTCTAAAGTATAGTTAGTTCAACTAGAAAATTTGTGCGGTTTTCATCGTTTTTCTTGTTCTTGTTATTAAAAACAAAACTTCTCACACAAATTGAAGCTTAAAACTATGAGGCCCGAATAAATGACCTGATTTGATAATGCTCTGCACCAGGCCTGTTTATTTAAGTTTGAACTTTGAAATCTTTGATGATTTTGTCTGATAAATTGTAAGAGAATGTTTTATCAATCAAAAATAATAATTTACATACAATTATTCTGTTATTTGAATGAACAAAAAGTATGTTTTTTTCACAGTTCTGTCATTCTATAGTGTTTCCCGATCAGAATCCCAAAGAGTACTAAGAACAAACAAGTCGAAAATAATATCAAACAAAAAAAACTAGTTGAAAATAATATAAGAACGCAAAGAATAATAAAAATCTAAATGTGTACTGAGTTACATGAAACTAGTACCCTTTGGACAATGGCCTATTATGAAAAACTGGTCAAGCCTTTTTCCTTCTATAGACATCTAAAAAGCTAATGTCATTTTCCTACAACTTCTTTTACATCACTTTTTAAAACAATATTCTCTCTCTTTCATTATAGTTGATTTTCTAGGTTTTTTTCTTGTTTTATAATATTTGATTTTCTACGTCTAATTAATGCATGTCTCTTATTTAAATTGAATGAATAATATTAATGCATGTTGCTTTACTCCATTAATACACAGTTAAAAAAAAATGTAATAATAAAAATAATGAAATCAGTTGTAAAAGTAACTTAATTAACAAAAATAAACAGTAAATAATTGAGCATTTATAGGTTTTTTTAATCTGTGTGTAAATATTCAGAAAATAAACTAGAGAGAGTATATCTCATTAGATATAGACAACAACTAACTATCACAAAAACAAAATAGAACAGAAAAAAAAACTCCATGGACATCACAAGAAACGGCAGCACTAAGCTCCATCTCCAAACTCAGCTTCTGTTTACTCCTAATATGGTAAAAGAAGTAATGACGTTTATGTTCAATGCTCTCTTCTTTGCTTGTTCTTGAATCTCTCTTTGTTTGTTTGTTTGTTTCAGGAGAAAACTTCAGGTGTTCAGCCAAGAATTAGCACAAACCCATTTGCAGATGACTCACTTATAGACAGAATCAAACTAAAAGAAACTGCAGATTTCATCCAATCACTGCCAACTTCATCAAACCAAAGCAGTAGCAGCAGCGAGATGGTAAATGAAAGGAGACAGAGTTTCTCATCACAAAAGAGCATTGGAGAAGGAAGAAGTAGTGGACAGAGAAGAGTGATGTTAATGGATTCTCCTTGTACTCCAGGAAGAGGAGTCTTCAGCTTCAGTAGTAGTGTCTCTGGTAGAAGAAGAAACTTCCCTTCTAAATGGATTGATGCCGAGAAATGGGTCACCTCCGGTCATGAATCTCCGGCAAATTCCTTCAAAAACAGTCAAATTAGTAACAACTCCCAGTTTGATGGGTTTAAGCACCAGGTTTGTTTTCTCAAAAAAACACCCAAATTTTTGGAACTGGGAATTTGATAAAGTTCGAATCTTTAAACGAGAATGTGGAATCAAGAATTTCAAGAGTGGGCCTTTTGGAATCTGCAGGTGGAAGTTGTATACTCAGAGAAATCTAGGGTTACGGAGGAAAATGTTTCATTATCTCCACCAGATCTTATACTTAAAGGTAAACAAAAAGAAGAAACCCTTTTGATAGATTCTTTAAAGTTTTGATTTTTTTTTTGGGTTTAAATTGACAGTTAAAATTTTTTTTCTGTGTTCTGTTAGATAAGTTAGCGAACGATGTGCAACAGATTCTCCCATCAACGGAAGGGTTTATATTCAGAGATTCCGACAAATTTATCCGATACGAGGAAGAAGAAGCTCAAATTCAGCACAGAGACATCGGAACAGAGATGACACCAATCGGAAGTGTAACAACTTCAAGATGTCACACGCCGTTCAAAAGCATGTCTCCGGCGAGACACAACACGCCTTCGAAAATGTCCGGTCCGTTAACAGAGACCAAAAACGTCATAGATATCTCCGAGTTCGCGGACAAGCTTCGACTCAGTGGGTCAGCAGCGAATCAGTATTATAACTCGGTGACCAGTCACTGGAACTCGAGGGAAGAAGAAGAAGAAGAGACATCGAAGAGCTTAAGACATTTCGAAATGGAAAGTGAGTTACGGAGAAGTGTCTCTGAATCTAAGGCTGCTTCATGGGATGATGAAGACGACAAGATCAAATTTTGCCAAAGGTATACACAAAATCTTGAAGAAGTTAGAAAATTTTGAATTTGAGTAAATTAAAAGTAGATTTTTTTTTTTTTTTGTAGATATCAAAGGGAAGAAGCCAAAATTCAAGCATGGGTTAATCTCCAAAATGCTAAAGCCGAAGCTCAATCCAGGAAACTCGAGGTATGTGCATACGAATACGTATATTTTTAGAGACAGAACCGTATAAAATACGGATGTTTTGGTCTGTTCTAACAGATTTGTGGAGCCACGAGCCAACATTAGAGTAATGTGATAATGTCCGAAGTCCTTCACGACTTCATTGACTAGTCTTTGTTACTTTAGAAGCAAAAGTCTTCGAGTTTCTAATTTTTTAAAAAGGAGATGACATCTACTCGCTTTGTAGTTGTACTTGTAATTTGTGCAACTCCCATGTGAAAAAAGATCAGTGTTTCTTTAAAAGTAATTTCCTCTCTTGGGAAATTGTAGAGTTTGGACTTAGATTAAGCTAGTATTAATTGATTATCTAGCTATATAAAAATTTATGTAGCTATTTAATCAAACAAGTCCAAAATTTGTAGTTGAGTAATATATATTCTTTTTTTTTCAAGAGTTAGTCAGTGTGTGTGGTCTTTTGAGGTGCTATTTTATTGTTTTAGGTGAAAATACAGAAGATGAGATCAAATCTGGAGGAGAAATTGATGAAGAGAATGGATACGGTGCACCGGAGAGCAGAGGATTGGAGAGCTACGGCGAGGCAACAACATGCTGAGCAGATGCAGAGAGCGGCGGAGACAGCTAGGAAGCTGACAAACCGCCGTGGCTATTTGGTTGCCGGCCGTAGCTCATGTGGTTGTCTTCCTTGCAATAATAATACATGTCGCTAACTTAGTAAAAGATAAAAAGAAGTGAAAAATACAAATAGACAAAAACAAGAAGTTACTGTTTATGTGTTTGAATTTATCAATATTTGTGTAATTTTTACTGTTTTATTCAAAGAAAACTTCGACAGTTTCTTTGGAGTTGGAGTCTATTTCGTTATCAATAAGAGAATGTAACCGAGTGACAAAACCAATAGATCATATCATAATCCGCATAATCCGATATCAAATTCCGTAGTAAGTGTGTGTGAGTTGTACATGACAAAAAAATCATTAAAAAAATAAATTTGACTAAATTTTTTGAAAGTACAGAAACTAGTTTCAACAATTAATTTATGGAATTATAAATTTTCTGAATTGTTTTTTTAATTTTCTGGATTTAAATCATGATTTGTGGTAAAAGCGTCTTGAATCTTTCACTGCGATATTGAAGACATATTAGAATTTCAATATATCATTTTAGGCTACCAATAAACGTTTTGAATCTGTGAATTTAAAACTTGATAAGTTATACCAAAGATTCTAATGATTTTGAAAAAGGAAAAGAAAAACACTAACTAGTGGAAGCTCTTATTGTTTTCTCTGTATTTTATGGAGTTTTGTTCTTGTTGTTTTCTTGTTTAACTAAATTTGAGCTGTTGTTGTCATGCAAAAGTTTAAATACAGAGAAATAAGAGACTGGCCACAGACAAACTTTTGCGTCTGGAAGGAGTAGAAGCCTCGCAACAAGTCACAGCTTTTCTTCCTCCCTATACTTTGCAAGCCAACACCTTCATTTCTTTTTGTTCTTTTCTGTTTGGTTTTACTCGCTGAACTAATTTGTAACAAAAAGAAAAAATTTATTTGAGTACAGGCAAAAAAAATTTATTTAGACTGTCTATTTTGTCCTTTCTTTTATTGCAACACTTCAACTCTGACATTGACATTGAGATAATAAAGGACATGTTCAAATTCCAGTCCAATATTTATAAAATTTGCAATTCACAATTTTTTTAAAAAGTGAACAAAAAAGTAAAAGCCTACTTATGACCCATTACAAAGATAGTTGGGCTTATTAAAGCCCATTATAAAACGTCGCGTTTCGACTATCTAACTTGCTGTTCAAGAAGTGTTCTCGGAAGCTAAAACTAAAAGAAGAGCAAACTGGTAAAGGCTACGGTTTCTTCGATTCGCAGATCAATCGACTGGTGTGATTTTCTAATCTCAACAAGTTCTTAGTTATTCGATTCCCCTTTTCCCCCTTACCAGGTTTCTGGATTTATCAAGATCGCTTATTTTTGTAGGGTTTTGATTCTGTTGTGTAGACACTAAGGTTTTACAGATCTAAGTCGCGGAAGAAGAAGATGTTTCTCACTAGGTATTTATATCATTTATTCCTCCGTCTTAACCCAAATCTACAGTCTTCTGCTTCTGGGTTCACTTCAATTTTTCGTCTTTTTTGCTTCAGTCGTGGTTTTTGCTTATCGTAATTTCCGATTTTGTTATTCGAAGGACTGAGTATGACAGAGGAGTCAACACTTTTTCTCCTGAAGGCAGGCTATTCCAAGTCGAGTATGCCATTGAAGCTATCAAGGTAACTTTTCCATTTGTTTACCTGTAAATTAGATAGTTGCGGAATCGAGAAAAAGTTGAAGAAAGGGTTTTCCCTGGAAAACGATTTAATGGTTTCCTTTGATTGCTCAGTTTCTTGCAAAATTTGGCTCACTCTTTACTGTTTAATCGCTTGTAATACTTAGTGTGGTACATTGGGACAGGACTTGGAATAGTAATTTGCATGATATCTAAGGAATTGTTGCTATTGAAGCTATCGGGAATAATTAGTAGCATCGAGAAAATTTGAAGAAGGTTTTTGTTTCCCTGGAAAACGATTTAGGGGGTTTCTTTGATTGCTTAGACTATTGCAAAACTTTGGTTCACGTTTCCTTGTTTAATCGCTGAAGTTTTGATTTCAAATGCGTAAGGATTATATTTTGCGGCTCTGACGAGTGTGAAATGATTGCAGCTTGGTTCTACTGCAATTGGAGTAAAGACAAAGGAGGGAGTTGTGCTTGCTGTCGAGAAGCGTATCACGTCGCCTTTACTGGTTTAGTTGCTAACATTATATTCTTTTTTTTTGCTTTAATAATTCTGATTTTTTTGGGTTTTCTTTGATTCAATAAATTGATTTCTGATGTAGCATTAACCATGGAATCTGAAAAAATGGTAAAGTTAGTTATGGTGAAATCATACCCCATTTTTCCTTTTTTTTTGTTCAGGAGCCGAGCAGTGTGGAGAAGATTATGGAAATCGATGACCATATTGGTTGTGCCATGAGTGGTTTAATTGCTGATGCGCGTACACTTGTTGAGCATGCAAGAGTTGAGACTCAGGTGAGGTTTCTTTTTCTTTTCGCTTCAAAAGATCTTTTATGTTATTGACTGCTTGTTTGCTGTGGTACAGAACCACAGATTCTCGTATGGGGAGCCAATGACTGTGGAGTCCACAACACAAGCACTGTGTGATCTGGCTTTACGATTTGGTGAAGGAGATGAAGAATCAATGGTAATAATTAAAACTGGAATCTCTTGTTGCTTTCACATCCCTCGGCTTAGTCTATATGATTGAAAGAAATCATTGATTACCATAACAAGACCTTGATAGTAGGAATACTTTGTCCTGACATTTTGATATGAATACTGATTCTCTTTTTTCATGGATGTTACTACAGTCTCGGCCCTTCGGAGTATCTCTTCTCATTGCTGGTCATGATGAAAACGGACCGAGCTTGTATGATCTTATCTTCTCACATGTTTTTTTCTACTGATATGATTTACTCATGAGGAAGTTAGTTGATCTCAGTGTAAATAACTATGTCTTGTTACAGGTACTACACGGATCCGTCAGGGACATTCTGGCAGTGCAATGCAAAGGCAATTGGTTCAGGCTCAGAAGGAGCTGATAGTTCCCTTCAAGAGCAATTCAACAAAGTAGTAACTTGAACCTTTTCCAATAGTTTTCTCAATCACTTGATATGCATCTCGTACTTTGCCATTAAAATCTTTCGTTTCATCATTATCTTGTTGCAGGATCTGTCACTTCAGGAAGCTGAGACGATCGCTGTATCGATCCTGAAGCAAGTTATGGAAGAAAAGGTACACACTTTTCCATCTAAGTCTATACAATTTACCCAAGATATTGATCCCATTTAATTGTTTTGGTCTGTGTAGGTGACTCCAAATAATGTGGACATTGCGAAGGTAGCACCAGCTTATCATCTCTACACTCCACAAGAAGTCGAAGCAGTCATTAGTCGTCTATGAGGAAGATTCTGTAATCGGGTAATGTATCCATCCGACGTGTGTCTACTTTGGATTTTGAAGCCAAGAGACTTTTCTTTCACTTTGTCTGTTGGATTGATGGATCATGTCACATTTTACTCTGTTGTGTAAGAGAATCTTTCGTCTCCCATGTCATTCAATAACCTCTCGGATTTTATGACTCAGAAATTTCCCTTCTTATCACTTGCGTTTTATAAGTTGCTCTTGGCCGGAAGCACGGTAATGGACCTTGCTTTAGTCCTCTCCCGGAGCCCATATGGCCCTAGTAACAATTTTATAATGATCGAAAATTATCCTAAAGGCAAACGAACGTTCTTTACCTTCTTCATTTCTGAAAGAAAAAAAAACATTAACTAGTTTCCTGATATGTATACTGTTAGTCTATTAGCTAGACAAATATGCCAGAAAAGATTAGATAAATAGAGTAATAAACCATCTAATAGAGAAGTAAATTTGTTTGCGTAAAATAAATTTATGTGAATTTGTACCTTTTGTTGTTAGTTAGCTACATTGTATCTAGAAGATGAAAGATAAGAAGATTTCACAATTGGTGTTACAGTTTATATTTAAAAGAAGAGAAGAAATTCATTTATAGGATAATCTATTGTGATGAAAATAACTATGTACCATCGTAAGTTGTATTAGTGTTAGCTCGTGTAACCATAATGTGGGAGAGATGTAGACAACAAACCAGTATATACCAATATTGCGTATACTTTGTAGCTCTGATCATTTTTCACCTCAAAAGTCAAGAATAAAAAGTACACAAAATACTGCTAATTCGGGCAAAGAACAGACCATACAATACAACCGTGTCAAATAAACAAAATGTTGGTAAAATTTGGCGGATGTTTTCATATAAAAAAAAATCTAAAAATCCAAGTATTCATTATGTCACTTTAATTAAGATAGCTGATGCGTCACTCCCGTCGCCGGTATCCAATCACCGCCATGTAAAAGCGTAGTCACCGTAAACTTGGCTGCCTCCTCCGCCGACATAACCGGTTTATACCCGGCCCATTTAACTCTCTGGGCCACATCCGACCCGGGACCCGTATTCTTATACTCACCGTACACAATACTCGCCGGCGGGTCAACGCCGGAAACCCAAGACATCCACCCAGAAGGTCGAACCACCGGTCCAATCTCCGTCTCCATAATAACCGTCGTGGAAAACTCCTTCCACGGCCGGCCAAGATACGTCGGAGCTGTGACATTGCCGTTGCCGGAGATGGTGCACCGCTGAATCGACATACCGGAGTTTTGGTTCGGGTCTTTTTTGCCCTGAGCGGTTATCGTGTTGAACTGTCTCGGAAGTGGCTGACGTGGCATGATTTTGCAGCCTTGGAAAACGACGGCGGCGCTGCCGAAGATGAAGTCGATCGTTCCGGTGACGTCGCAGTCGCGGTAGAACTGGCGGTTGGAGTGAGGGTAAAGAGTGTCTTGATAACCGTCGAAAGAGCATCGGTGATAAACGGAGAAATCGGAGCCTGATCGGAATGCCACCGCCTGGTGTTTCTCTGCTCCGGCGGTGTTTATGATTCCGATATCTTTCATTATAAATCCTTTCCCTTGTATAGCTGCGTGTAAAGTATAAAATTGTGACTCAAAAAATCTTGGGAAAGCATCGTTCTAAGATTAAACAATACTAAACCAAAAATTGAGTGAAAATATAAAGACACAAAACAAAAGAATCAAACTAATAAGAGTGGATCAATCCAAAGTCCAAACTGATCCGAATTGAGCTTAATACGTGGAATCTGAACCGAACCAAACCAGAACTGAATTTCCTTTTTATCTCAACTCTCTCAAGTCAAAAGTCCTTTCTGACTTTTTTTTTGTTCTTTCCCAAATCAAATCAAAATTTGACCTCTAAATCAACTCAATTTAAGAAACGCAATGGGAATAGATAGCTAATAATGGCTTAAAGGTAACATTTTTTTCTTCAAACATTTCTCAATTGGTTATAAAATCAAATTTTGCCATTCTAATAAGCCCTTTAAGAACTAAAAACAAGGCAGCAAGAGAGGAAGACTTACCAAACGTCGCCGTTGCATAAGTAGGAGTCCCGTCGATGAAGTTCTTATTGCCGGAAATAATGGTCTTTTCTTTGCCGTCGCCGAAGATCATAACATTCCACTTACTCTTATCCATCACCACGTTCTCAACATACCTTCCAGCTTTCACATAAATCACAAACACCTTCTTACTCTTCTTCGGCACCTTCAACACCGCCTCGTTCACCGTCTTCACATCGCCGGATCCATCAGCAGCCACCGTCACATCAGGCTTCAAATTCTCTGTCTGCAACAACCTCCGTCTCGCCCATTCCGGCTGCTGATTCGACAAAAGCCGTCTTCTTCCGTGAATCGGAATCCCCAAATTGCTTAACGCAGCGAGGATCTTCGACACGATCGCAAGACTGTTGCTTGTGAACTCCGTGGATCTGCTCATGGCGGATTTCAGATTCTGAGTAATCGTCGAGTTCGCGTACTCTGTCTTGTTCTGAGCCAACTCGTCTATCGAGTCGAAACACGTCTCGTGATCCGTGACCGTTGCGCTTAGCCATGTTTTGAGATCGTCGATTTTCGACGAGGTTAGAGTTTTCTTCTCACCGTCGTCGAACGCGTCCATGGCGGAAACGGTGTCGTTGAGTCGATCCAACGCATCTTCGATGAGATTCCCGCAAACCCTTAACGCCGATTTGATCCTCTCGTCTTTGGTGCCGTTGGATAGCTTTTCCGGTAAATCGGAAATCGAATCGAGCTCGTCGATGATTACTTTCAGCGAGAGCTTGAAGAGAATCTCTGGATCTGTTGTGTTGGAAGACGGAAGCTTTGAGATACTGTAGAAGCAAGATTCAGGGAAACGAGTCACGCTGCAAATGGATTTAAGTGAAGTGGACGGTGATAACTCGGAAGGTGAACTCGGTGTTGACTCGGACGAGTTTTTTTTCTTGTTGTGAACGACGGTGGCGACTACGGCGGCGATTATTACCGCGACGAGGATTACGACGGAGACTGATAGTATAATTAGACGCTTTCTTGTCTTTTTCTTCAAAGCTAAATCTTGAGCTTCGTCTACTTTCCCATATCCTTTGAAGGAATTCACAGAATCCATAAATCCTATAAGTGGCTTAAAGCAAGCTCCTTTTTTTAGGTTTCTGGGTTTTCTAAAAACTAAGATTTTTTTGGGGGTTTGTTTGTTATGTTCTTTTGTTAATGTCAGAGAGACATGTGTTGTTGTCTTTTTATAAATATAAAGTGTAGAAGAGTGAATGTGAATCTATGAACGTGACTCGCTAATTCCATGGTGCTTTCTCGGCTGTGTGAGTGTGTGACAGTTGATCTATTTGCATGTGGAGATTCATGATTACGTTGTAATTATTTAACTAATTCAACTTGATTATAAATTATAATCTCCATTATATGTTTCAAAAAAATGAAAAAAATATAAAAAAATTACCATTATGTAACTTTTTTTTGTCTCCCCAATCAAGTGCAACAATATCATGTCTTGTAACAGATCATAACTCATAATTAAAGTTAACAAGAAGACACTATTTGGTAGACAAAAGGATCTTAACGGTAAAAACATAAATATAAGTCAAAGTCAAAACTCTTTATTTCGTAGTATAGGGCCACGAGAATGTGAACACTCTTCACAATTTAAGTGTCTACTGGTACATCTTTCAAGTATACACATTAGAAGGAAGAAAAATACACATAAAAACGTATACAAACAAAAAGAATCGAAGAGAAAAGAACGTTATCTCGCAACATTGAAATGGCCATGTGCTTGTCTAATAAGTGGCGTCTCAATCTAAATCTCTTGAGGCCTTAAATTCGACAAGTGACAGCACCAAGATTGGGCTTCTGAAACACATGATTCCCGGTTACCTTACTTGATAATTTCAAATCAACCAGTCAAACCGGGTATAGTCCGGTTCTGTATGCCCTGAGCCATACCATTATGGGTTTGTTTTGCATTGATTATTTTTTTTTCTCTTCTGGAACTATAATAAACTATGGATCTCGGTTTGGGTTTGGTTTAGATCAGTATGATGCTATTGTGGTGAGTGTACGAGTGTACGTGCGTGATCTATTTTGTTTGCTTGTTTTCTTGTTTTATAACAATATGACTATGTGAGTGATCTATTTGCATGTGGAGATTCATGATTAATTTGTACCTATTTGATTATTAAACTTGATAATAATCTCTATTATGTTAGTTTTTGTCGTCTTGATCCTAATCAGGTGCCGCAATAACATGCCTTCGGATCATTCATTACTCATAAGTAAAGGTAATCTCAAGATGCTATATATTTGGCTTAAGCACAAAAGTTGTAAGGGTAAACAACACAAATTCAAACTCAACACTCTTTACAATTCAAGTAGTTATCTGTACATGTATCAACTATATATTGGAAACAAGCACATGAAATCGTCTACAAATAAAGATAAATTTGAAGAAAAATGAGCATTATCTTGGCAACATTGATTTGGCCATATGTGCTTTTTAACAAGTGCCATCTCCATATCCATCTAAATTCCTTGGGGCCTTAAATCCAACGAGTGGTAAAACCAAATTTTGGCATAGCTTTAATCTTATAGAAGTGATTTTATAATTTATTGATTAATAATGGAAGATAAGTTAATAAACTCAATTCTCTTTTCTTTTTTGTTTTAAAGACTTAGCAAGAAAGGGAAACCGGTCGACGCTAACCAGCTTCCACCACCAATAAATTGACCAGCCGTATATTGCTCAGCCTCTGTAACACTCGTAATCACCTTAAAGCCCTTCCACTTCACTCTATTTGCAGTTCCAGCCCCTCCTCCTCTATTCAAATACTCTCTATAAGTCAGAGTATCCAACGCAAAACTCCCGCTCCACTCAAGCCACCCTGCGGGTCGGATCACGTCGGAGATATCCGATTGCATTATCACCGTCCTCGAGTATTGCTTCCAAGGACGACCAAGATAAGTCGGAAAACTTCCTTTCACGGCCAAAAGATCAGACGTGGCACCAATCCGACAATTCTGAATCACAATCCCAGTGTTTTGATTCGGATCGGATCGACCTTGAGCCGTGACCATGTTTTTCTGGTTCGAATTTGGTCGGCGTGCGTTTATATCGCAGTCTTGGAAAACCGCGGCTGCGTTTCCGAAGATGAAATCGACGGTTCCGATTATGTGACATTTCACGAAGAACTGACGGTTTGAGTGAACGTAAAGTGTGTCTTGATAAGCTAACATGTCGCAGTTGTAGAAAGCGGAAAAATCCGACCCGACCCGGAGAGCCACCGCTTGATGTTTCGACGGACCCGCCGTGTTTTGGAAAGTGATGTCACGCGCTAGGAATCTCTCGCCGACGGCAGCTACATGCACATAATTAGTCCACGTCATCATTTACATCAAAACGTTACGTATGTGTCTTTATTTTATTTTGTCCATATCTGCAAATGTCTCTCATGTGATATTACGTAGTACGTATACCGAAAGTCTATAATGGACAAAAATGGTCTATCCAGTGTAACAAAAAGGTCTATCCAAATTTTAGTATAAAACCGACCAAACTGGCTTTGCAGTTAATACTTCATTCCCCCTAAATTGTTTTTACTTTTAAAAGTAACATAAACAATAAAAACGAAAGTGCATAAAATGGAAACAACGAAAACATTGATAAAGACTTGGGATATAAATTCTAGCAGAAGCAAAGAAAACAAAAAAAAAAACAAAAAATGGAAATTCTTCTATCTTTTCACAAAATTGGCTAATATTAATATAGAATTATAACCTTTACACTAAAATACCATAAAAACAAATTTTAGCGCCAAAATATTAAGCTCTTATTTTACGTGGTATTTTTAGAGTTATTTTGAAAATTTAGAAAACAAAACACAAAATATTATATATTTAGAAAACAAAACACAAAATGTTATATATTTGGAATATAAATTCTAGCAGAAGCAAAGAAAACAAAAAAAAACGGAAAAATGGAAATTCTTCTATCTTGTCACAAAATTGGATAATGTAATATAGAATTATAACCTTTACACTAAAATACCATAAAAACAAATTTTAGCACCACAATAATTAAGCTATTATTTTTACGTGGTATTTTTGGAGTTATTTTGAAAATTTAGAAAACAAAACATAAAATGTCATATATTTGAAACCCTAAATTATGAATATTCTTTAAAATTAACATAATTGAAGAAATTATTTATTTTCTCTAGAGTTGGAAAAAAAAGAGTATAAAAAGTTATTTACCAACGGTAGCGGAGTGGAAAGTGGTGCTTCCGTCAACGACGTTTCTACTTCCGGTGATGATAGTTTTCCCTCTCCCATCTCCCAAAAACATTACATTCTTCTTCTTCTTCGTCACTTCCACATTCTCTCTATAAACTCCTGCTTTTATATGTATCACAAACCTTTTATTACTCTTCTCCGGCGCCGCCGCTACCGCAGCCGCAATCGTCCTAAAGTCACCGCTTCCGTCAGCCGCCACTGTGACGTCAGCCTTCACCGTTGACCCTTGAAGAAGCCTCCTGTCTCCGACAGATAACCAATTTGGCCATCCTTCTCCGTCTAAGTCGCCTGTGACCTCTTTGAGCTTGCGGTTGTTGGAGGAGGTGGACCTATCTTTTAGCTCGAAGTTGGCTATGTCGGTATCTGTCATGTTCTTGATCATTGCTAGTGCGTTGCTACACATGTGCTCCACGTGTACCTGTTTTGATGGGTTCAATGATATAAGCTCTTAACTACATTTTGTTATTATTCGAGTGAAAGACATGATGTACATGTATCATTGAGAAATACTACTATAATTATTGACGACTGATCATTGTATGTTTTTCTCCGAGTAACTCTTATGTTGGGCAACTCGTCATTCAAAGTTAATGTTACGATTTAGTTCTTAATAATATTATTTATAATTCTGACAAGAATACTAATCATTCATGTTTTATATTTGATAAATAACTGTGTTGAAATCCAACCAATTAGCGTAGATTAAAAACAAAAAATTCATGCATATTAGTCATCGATAAATTTCTTTGCGTTTTTAATACTTTTTTTTTGTTGAAGAGGTGGGCATGAAATTGATGTATAAGAGGAAAACAGTATTGTTAATATACATAGTCTATTATTTCTGTTTGCAAAAATAGAATTGCTCAGAACACAAAATCTTAATATTTTCAAATCCGAACAATCATTTCACTCTCATACTAAATTTGACCTCTTTTTTTTTGAAAAAAGCAGATAACAGAACTTTGTAAGCATTTAGATGTAATTATTTCTTGAAACATTGAAAGAAAAAAAAGTACCTGCCCCTTCATTAAGGCCTTGCGAACTTTTCGATCGGCGTCGTCGTAGGAGAAGCCGTCAAGGCAAGTCTCTTGGTTAGTAATGGCTGAGCTAATGAGTGTTTTGAGATCATCGGCATGTTTCCTCAAAGATTTTCCCTTTGGATACTGATGAAGATCCTCCACCGCCACGTGGAGCTCATCTAACGTCTCATCGATAGTCTCCAAACAATCGTGAAGCGCCGTTGCCTCACGCGCCCTCAAGCCGCCTTTCCTTTTCGTTATCAGTTTCTTGACGGCGAAGTAATTGTGTTTCACGACGTTTGTGGTTAGGTTCAGTGACGCTTCGATGACGTCTTTATGTGACGTCAGTTTTTTGCCGGTGGATGCCACGGCGGAGAAACAGAGCTCCGGGTAACGAGTTGAGGTGCAAACGGATTTTAAAACGGCGTGTGATGTTAGAGAGAGGGTTTTGGTTTTTTGGCTATTGTTATGGTTCGCCTTTGTGGTGGCGATTCCAACGACGGTGGCAAATAACAGCAAGGCTAAGACGGCGGAGGAGAATACGAGTTTCTTGTTGTTCTTGAAATCTGAGAATTTGGATATGAAATCTTTTGATGGTGCCATTTTGTTTGGCAATGGTTGTCTGTGAGGACATAAAAGACGGTGGAATAGGGTTTTTATATTGTTGAGTTTCGAGATATATGAAAAAGTATGTAATTTTAAAACTAATTTCTTCTGTAATGTTATACTTGCTTGCCTGTATGTATTAATTATGTGAGTTGTTGAGTGGTACATTTTCAACATTTTCAACATTCTCCTTATAAAATATAAATTATGTTTCTCTTTTGTAATGGTTAATTTACTTTCCTTGCCACACAAATTATGAAATAATTAGTTATTTATGTGGTATATTTTCAAACTTCCTTAGGCCCACTTTCTTCGATATCATAATATTTCAAGGATAGTTATCTACTTATCTCGTATAAAATTTACAAATAATTTTGAATTAATTTATATCATCATTTTCTAATCATCTAGAATGTAATTTGCTTGATTTGTCTGAACATGCGTTATTTTCCGTCCCGAGAAGCAAGAAGCGAGTCAAGCGACCACTCTCGAGTCTCGTCCACGATGATACTCATAAGTCATAAATTTATAAAACCTGAGGCAACATAATACATTTGCATAATGATTTGATCTATGGAAGGATATTTCAATGGAACTGTCCATTTGATTTAGACTTTTAGTTATGTGGATTACACAACCTAAATCGATTTATACATTTTGTTTTTTCGTTTCCGGCTCGAAATTTTCGAAACTTGGAATTATATCGAAGTAAAAAGTATTGACGAAAACTGTCTTTCATTTTAATACGTTTTGGTCTTATAATAAATTGTATTTCTTTTCTTATTGTAAATATTGATCATGAATTAGAAAATTAAAAATGTTTCTTCGACAACTATAAACTTTAAATATTTCCTAATTCATCACATGCTGTTTCCCGGATTTTATGCTAAGAAAAATGTATATTTTTGGATGTAATTGGAAACGACAAATATTCTTTAATGATATATATATATATATATATATATTATTTTTGTTTTATTATTATAGTGACAGACTTATCACTTACTCTAGGATTCACAACTGCAGGAACATTCTTTTCTTGATTTTGAAATATTCCATTTTCCTTATTAAAAATGGCTAGTAAACTGTAATGAAAGTCTATGAAAGTCTGTACATGTCGCTGGATAGCCTGGATTTGCAGTTTGCATGTAAAACGTTCAAATACTAGCCATTCTGATTTTTTTCTTTTTGTCAAAATAATATATGTTTAGATAAATATACAATTACATAAAAAATATTATCTGCAGAAATAAAAAGGCGGTAGCCGGTAGGTACTTTGAAAATTAGTGTCATGAAATGAAATGGATCACTTTGAAAAACATACATGATGTTATTACTTTCTTGTATAGAACGACTAAGATATTTTCTAGTTGTCACGTATAAAAGAAAATCCCTAGTAAACAGTTAAGCATGAAGTATCATCGTTTCGTTGGCACCGAACAATAACTTAGAAGAAAGAGTAAAAAATCGTCAAAAAGAGTGAATAAATTATTGTTCGTTTTTGCTGTCTACTATAGGATGCAGGACTGTCACGGGATTCATCTTCTTGTTAATTGATACAATCGGAATCTTTTTAGTTCGGATTTTGAGTGATATTTTTTTTGTTTGCATTACGGATCCTATGTTTACTTATCATTCATTATTCATCTACATTAATATTCCATGAGACGAGAGTATTTCTATATAAAAAAGTTTCAGGATACTGCAAGGACTCTACATTCTGTCCGTGTCTTGTAGTTTGTTAGGATTCAGAAAAGGTCAAATTTCTATTATGATCTGTGATCACACTGAATGGAACAGAACGTATAAAAAATAATGCAAAAAAAGGCATTATCGTCTTTTGGTTCCTCCTCGTACTCGGAACCTATATTGGCAATGATATCTTAATTTGAATTTTAACTATTGAACCAAAGACTTCGACACTCTTACATTATCATACCTTAGCCTATCTTCACAAATATATTTTTTTAGACTAATGAACGATCCACCTCGTATTAGTAGATAGAACAAATCATAAATATATTAGTTTATCTAATTCAATAATAAAGATCGATGATACTTTTACCAAAGAGAAAAATATAATTTTAATGTCAGTGTTGGGGTATATTGAGAACGGACCACGTGAATGTTGCCTGTTGGACACCCACAGTTTGACAACGCCAGAAAGATTCAGCTAAGCCAAATTCAACTTTAGTTATTAGAGACGACGACCATTTTTTGAAAGTCTAATTTCCATTTCTTACTATGTTAATGTATCTAATTATTTTTCTACTCTTTCTTTGATTGTTAATCAAATAGTAGTTATTGAAACATTGTGAATCCGTTAAATTAATACACGATCATTAATTATGGGTTGAGTTAAAAATAATCAGTTATGGGTTGACAGAAAAAGAAGACGATCAATTATATCGCCGAAAGGTTGTGCGGTGGCTGGATGCATTGACAAATCATCCGTCGTAATTATATCCGTAATGTCATGAAATTATTGAATTTTCATTATTTTTTTAGATTTTCCGTTGGTATAAGGCTGTACGTAGAATTTTATGATCGCAAATATCTCCGTAAATCGCGCTCGTTTATTTCAAAATCTAATCACTGAATAATTGTTCATTTAGTACAGCGTAATTATTAGTTATTACTTGTATACTATCTCATTTTTGTTGTTGTTATTGTTGTTGTTTTCTTTTATGCTTTCAAAAAGAAAACAGACATACATTAATACGACTGTTTTCTCTCTTTTATTTGTTTTTGGCCACAGCATATTATAACGTATTTTGTTAAGTTACCTGTTAACCTATTGATTTTCTTAAGATTGGTTATATCCTAGACACCCGTAAATATGAGTCTGAATGTATATATCTTTTTACATCATCAATTAAAGTAGATGAGAAAAACTTACATTGACATACGGTGGACTGGGAAAAAAATGAAATATTGTTTTGAAATTGATATACAAATTATGAAAATTATTACAAAAGACAATTTTATAAACGGACAATGTTATCCATTCTAAACCACGACCATAATCAAGGACCCTACTTGCAAGATATTGTTATTTTGTTCTTAACCATTGTCCGTTAACAAGACATTGTAATCTGGTATGTGTTCTATATATGCAACTCTGATATGGAAACGAGGAATCATCTTTTATTTGACTGTCGATACAATTGGTATTTTTTTTACAGATATTCAAGCAGATTTGCTCGTGAAAGAAATATATATATATATATAACCATCCGAAACAGAGCAAGCAACATGCGTATAAATTCAAGGCTCGCCTCATATCTCCTTCACATTTCCTTCAATAAAGATAAATTAAGAAAATTAGCAATAACTACACATACAAAGTTGAAAATATTTAACTTTTTTGAACAAAATATTTTACAAAATAATTAACAATTAAAACGGATGAAATATTAAAATAATGAATTAATGTAACAAGTAACAACGTGTCGGAAAAATTTAGGACATATAAATAGTGAATCCTTGAAGAAACATCGAAGAAGGATCTATCCAATCTGTTACAGTATATCCCAGAGAAAATGATAGAACTCAAAGTTTAGTTTACATTATTGGGTGGTTCTTCATTTCAGATACATGCACCAATCATTAAGCACGTTTTGTGATTCACATATAGTAAAATCATAAGTATGAATACACTGGTTTTATGCTAGATGGATATATATAGTTGAAAAAATGTCGAAATTGACTAATTATGTCCTAAAGCGAGGGATTTCAAAGTCGTTCACACGCTATTTATTTATTTATCTTTTTGGGGTCGAAAACACGCTATTTAATTAACCCACAATATTAGTTACAAAGAATTACGACATGGTGCAAGGAAAGTCATTCGTGGTGGTCAAGTGGTCGACTAAAGGTTATTATGGAAGCAAGCTTATAAGGAAATTTTCAGCATGGTGCAAGGAAAGTCATTCGTGGTGGTCCCAGGCTGCGTGAATTATTTGGAATGGATGAATTGTCAGTTGTAAAATTGTCCTCATAATAGTTCTCATAATCTATAGTTCTCATAGTCTATTTTAATAGACGATTAAAAAAAAAACAGAATTACGACATGAAGAGTATTGAGAAAATATGTTGTCAGTTGGAAAAAAGGAGGTTATCAATAGAGCTCGATTTTTGTAGTCTAGCTATATTCAACAAAAAAGGTCACTGCATCACTGATTTTTTTGGTTGAACAAAAACCAAGCACATCTCTGTTTTGGCATAAAAATTTTAATTTAAGCGCTGTCATAAAAAAAAAATGAAGTTTCAATTCACGTCCAGTTTTATCACATTTCAATTTGAATTTTCACGTTAATTATGTTTGTTTTTTTAATATGAAAGATTCATTGAGAGATCCCAACGGGTGCATGAAGCTTCTAAAGTTCCCTAACCTAGGATCTTAGAACATTTCCATTAGTGTTATCTATGTTAGGTTTCTTAGGAATAGTTTAGTAATTTTTTTAAGAAAGAGAAAAAGCTAAGAAATTATGTGTTTTTGATGTCTATTAGTGTTTTTATGTTTGTGTAAAAAGAAAAAAATGAAACGATCAATAACCAGCTGCCACGTGTATTAAAAGATAGTCTCTTCAGCTCCTTATATAAGGAGCACTCCTTAGCAAAATTGAACTAAAACTATTTTTTTAATCCTCATACCTATGACACCTAGCCACAAAACAGATTTAAAAACCCTGATGGAGATGCTCTTACTATCTTAGGTTCTTAAATCAATTAATCTTTACTGACATATTTATTTATTGGGAGTGATTCCATTGAATATATAATTTTACCAAGTTTTCATATTCGATTTACACAAATATGCAAATCATATACCTTTACGTGGGTGACAAGTCATATATATACTCTCTTTTCTGATCATTCGATTTTAGGACAATTCTAGTCCGAGCCCTGTCTTTTCCTTTTCCGAGTTGGTTTTCCGTATTTAATATTTGGGATTAAAAGGTTGCTCAAAACTTAAAGTATATATATACATCAAGTTGACCCGAAGAAAAGCAAAGAGAGCCAGAGTCGTTTTCGTTCGTCTATAGCCAAAAAGCTAGGGTTTAAACGTAGCTAATCCGGAATCCATGAAAAAACTGAAGCAGAACGTCTCAGGATGCTCAGACCAAATCCCAGTTGATCTTCTTATCGAAATATTCTTGAGAGTCTCATCAAAGTCTATAGTTAGATTTCGCTGCGTGTCCAAATTCTGGAGATCGCTACTTCGCCGTCCGAATTTCACGGAGCTGTTTCTGACTAAGTCTTTAGCTCGTCCACTGCTTCTCTTCGCTTTCCAAGTTGGTGATGGCAAATTAGTCTTCTACACATCACTTCATACTACAAACCCTAATAAGAGACCATCTCTTGATTTTGTTGATCGTCGTGCCTATTTCCCCACGGATTACTCCAGAAATTTTTTAACCATTTAGATGGATTGATCTGTCGTCACGAGCAGAGGAAGACACAATCCATGGCGATGATTTGTAATCCCATCACGGGAGAGTCTATAACCTTACCAGAAGTGAGAATGGAGAGGATAGACAAGAGAAGCTATTTTATTGGATATGATCCGATCAAAAAACAGTTCAAGGTATTGTGTATGACTTGGTATTATTCTAAAGTACACAATATACCCCAAGAACATCGAGTTATGACATTAGGGAATGGAAAACATATATGGAGAAAAACTAAGTGTTGCAGACCTCATTATCCTTTGGATAATGTGATATGTTTTAATGGTGTTTTGTATTATTGTTCTGGCAGCTGTGGCCTTTCCTCGAATTCAGCGGTGACTATGATAGTTTGCTTTGATGTTAGGTCTGAGATATTCAGCTTTATCGACAAAGATGAAGCCATGTCGATATATTATTCTTGTACTTTAATCAACTACAAGGGTAAATTAGGTGTGGCTAAGTTTACATATGGCTTTCATAGATTTCTTGAGTTGTGGATTCTAGAAGATGCTGGGAAACATAAATGGTCAAAGATTATTTACGAATTTTCTCCTCTGTGGAAGAGTATATTTGACGAAACCTCAGTACATATTATTGGACTGACTGGTACTGGTGATATTGTGTTTTCAGCGTACTTTCTGTCAGACCCTTTCTACGTTTTCTACTACAACCTCGACAGCAAAACTTTGACAAGAACTGAAATCCAAGGATTTGAAAAGTTTCAAAATCATAGGGTTTACATCTTTCAAGAATATGTAGAGAATGTGAAACCAAACTTACTTACCTAAAAAGTAGGTGCTTTGTAAATTTACCATCTTATTTGAAACTCTTCTATTTTCTTTTGTTACTTATTTTGATTGGTTTTTGGCTAAAAGTTTTGGGTGTTTGTTAATGACAATCCTCATAGTACAATATTTGGTTTTTCTATTTATTAAAGAACCTTTTACATACAGAACATAAAACGTAAAAATCAAATCCCAAGAGAGCGTGTGTCCTCATCTCATCATCTCTCGCTGGAATCTATATGTACTGAGTCCACTTTTAGACTCAACATCCCATCAACCAATCAGAAAAATAATCAATGATGATGTTAATCAAATTTATATGGAATGATATATGGTTATATCACATTCCTCTCGTATACAGAAAACCGATATATACTAAACATTTTATCACAAATAGGACCAATGCATACATTCTCGATGATTTCGAGATTTCCCATAAGCATACATATATTTCAAGATACTAATTTGTAAAGAGAACTTCTGTACAATACTAAACATAGAGCTTTGTCTACTCTAGTTTATTCTTTCAAATGAGTAAATCAATTGAGGCTCCTATTCGTGTACTAGTTATTTGTTAAGTTTATTAATCCAGTCTTGATATATTTTTTCTTCAAATTACTAGCTCTGATTCTTGTCCGACTCAGTACTAAAAGCCAATCAATAAATGAAACTGTATGTACACACGTTTCGTAAAACATACCAAAACATAAATTAATCTCGAAAGGTTCCTATGTTCTTGAAATCAAACATTGTTGTTATTGGTATCGCTTGAACCAGAAATGCAAACCACACCTTTCTTCTCTCTACTCAAAAACTTCTTAAGTGATCTTAACCTCGTGAACATCGGTGACTTAGGTTCCTCTTCTTCTATTCTCTCCGATAAGCTCTCACTTTGATTCACCGGAATATCCACCACAATCGCCGTTACTTGTTGTGCTCTGTTACAACTATTTGAACTAGTGGATTCAGGTTGATGATCGTTAGAAGAATCCGCAGAATTTCCAGAACCAAGATCTTCAGTAACTATGAGACCTGCACTTCTAACTTGATTGTGATCACCCCAAACGAGTACATTTGTCGGAAAACTCAGAGGTTCTGTCGAAACCCCAAGAACAGGGCTCTGATCTTGTGATGGATTATGTTGATTACTCGAATGCCCAGATTCAAAGTTTTGATTTTGAGACAAACCCTCACTTCCTCCACGTGTCGTCTCTTCCACAGACCCAACCGTGTTTCTACAGAGAGGACAAGTGGAATGAGACTGAAACCACATGTCGATGCAATCAACATGAAACCCATGGTTACACCTTGGCAAAACCCTAGCTTTATCGCCGTCAACGAGATCGGTGAGACAAACGGCGCATTCTAGCCCGTCGCTGAAGTCTCGTGACTTGAAAACGACAACAGGGATCGATTGGAGAAGAGAAGAATCGAGACCTGCGTTGCGAGGAGGATCTTCTTGAACTTGAGCGAAGATGAAACGATGTCGTTGATGGTTACGGCCGATGACTGTTGAGCCAGGATCGTCGGATTGGATTAGGTTTAGGTTGAAATGTTGTTCCACACGCCACCAGAAGAGCCTAGCGTAGAGATGAAGCAAGAGGAGGAATAGAATCGCTGTGAAAAGTGATACGATTGCGAATAGAATTAATTTTCCCATCATCTCTTCTCCTTCAAGGTTTCTGAAGACGGAACTATTAGAAGCAGATTCTTCGTCCATGTCGCTGACAAATGGTGAAACCCTAATGAATTATAGGTCAAATTAAAGGGGGAAAAAAACTCAGACTTTTTGCGTGGAAAGAAAGGAAAGCGTAAGATGTTCTCACATTAAGACAAAGATCGTGAAAGATTAGAACACTGATAAAACCCGAAAGATCGATGCTTTATTGAAAGTGGTGAAGCTTTACGATGGAATGAAATGTAACAAAGAGAGGGTTTTTGATGTAGAATTTTGGTTGGAGGTCCATTAATTCTGAGGAATTTGTCATCGAAACCAGAATTCACGGCAAAATGGCGATGAGAATCAAGACTGGTTCAAAGATTTTCGAAAAAAGTTGGGACACAAGTCAGTGGAACACGCTTTTGGGTTTTTGACTTGGTTTAGTCAATTTCCTCAAATTGTCAGTCAATATCAGGTTTTAACAAAAGAGACCTTTTAGTAAAAGTGACCTTATTTGATCAAAAATAAAAAGAAGCAAAAGAGACTTTTTAGTAATCTGAAATACAACATACAGTTATCTTCTAGATCCAATTATCACATTATAAACTGGAAATGAAAACTCTTCTCTCAAGCATTAGCATGAGACCAATAAAAATAAGCCAAAATTTTTAATCATCACTAAAGAGCTAATGAACAATATAAGAGCATCTCTAGCAGGGTCTTTTACCCAGATTTTCGCACAAAAACCTAAGTATTTCCTTAAAATTTTGATGGATCGCTCTTTATATAAAAGACAAAGAGATTGTCTCTTACGCCAGGTGGAAGATTGTGATTGGTTATATATTTTTTTTGCTTTTAATGTTTTAATTTTTTTTCTCTCTCCAAAACAAAATACTAAACTATATTCTTAAGAGACCCATGAGTGAATAACATTAATGGAGATGCTCTAATGTTTCCAACAACGGTAATGTCTTCCAGATTTTGGCAAATCAGCCCGTCTAACTTTAGCCTTTAAAAAAACATATTTAAATCTAATATTTATACATAATAAAATATTTAATTTTCAAAGGAAAATAATATTACATTGTAAGTCAAATATAAAAGTTTATAATGTACATTGGTCAATATTTATAACTAACTAGATAAAATATTTGTGTATATGCGCGAGTGAAAATGTATTATATTGGGCCCTAACAAAGCCCAAGTTATCGAGCAAGTATATATAAGTAAAACAGTAAAAGAAAATCGGGATTAGGGTTACATGCATCCACCGCCATGGCAAAACGTAAACGTAAACAGTAAAAGAAAATCGGGATTAGGGTTACATGCATGGCAAAGTGTCGCCGCGTATCGAAACGCTGGTCGTCGATCATTCGCCGTCCAAACTACAAACAGTTGTTCCCGATAAGTCCTCGGCTACACCACAGATACTCTTCGCCTTCCAAGATGGGTCATCAAACTTGTTCTTCTACTCTTCACCTCAACCTCAAGATCTTGATGTGTATACTTCGTCTGTTGTAGCCACTCGTCATGACATGAAACTCGGGACAGGTTTCTACAAGTTATGTCGACCTGTTCACGGACTTGTCTGTAGTCAACATAAAGGAGAGAAGAAGTCATGGGCTGTGATTTCTAATCCCATCACAGGAGAGTACGTAACCACACCCAAAGTGTCGATAGAAGGTGTTAAAGGGTGGATAAAAGGAAAAGCAGAGTATTCTTTTGGGTATGATCCAATAGAAAAACAGTTCAAGGTATTGCGTATCACCTGGTTGACTTGCAATCCAGACAACTGGTTTCCTAGGTATCATGTTCTGACATTAGAGACCGGAAATGGAAATAGAAATAGAAATAGAAATCTCTCATGGAGGAGGATCCAAAGTTGCACATTTCATTATCCTCTATATATACAACGATAACGGGATATGCATCAATGGTGTTTTGTACTATCCAGCAATGAGACATAACAATCATAACTTATGATGGTTTGCTTTGATGTTAGGTCTGAGAAATTCAGTTTTATTAACTTTGATGATAGGTCTGAGAAATTCAGATTTACTAACTTTGGTGAACGCGTGACAAAAAAGTTGGCCAAGCCTTCAATATTCTGATAAACTACAAGGGTAAATTAGGTTTCACTGAAGGTTATGATATTTTCCGTCCTTATTTTGATCAGTTGTGGGTTTTGAAAGATGCTGAGAAACATTGTTGGATTTGACAAAGTCTGAAGGTGAAATAAGTCAAACGGATTTGTCGGAGTGGAATAAATATTCTCGGAGGAGAATTAGTTTCAAAGTTGTTTCAAGTCGTTTCCTGTTTTGTTTCCTGAAATTTCTGCTTAGTAGTTGTTAAGCTTTTCTATAAAAGCAGTTGTAATCTTTATCATTCAATAACAAGAAATCATTCAGACTATTCCTTTATTGAGAGCTTTTGATTTCTAGTTCCCTTTATCTGGTATCAGAGCGAAACACTTTGTGAGAATGACAGAAAAAAATTTCACCACACCGTCTGTTCCTCTGTTCGATGGAGACTATGACCATTGGAGTTTGGTCATGGAGAATTTGCTCCGTTCGAAGGAGTACTAGAGCGTCATTGATCCAGGATATGAGGAGTTGAGAAACCTTGCTGCCCCCGATCAAAATCAGCGAAAATCTCTTGAAGAAGCGAAGCTCAAGGATCTCAAAGCCAAAAATTACCTGTTCCAGTCAATTAACAAAACCATTCTGAAGACCATCACTCAGAAGGAGACAGCTAAGCAACTTTGGGACTCCATGAAAGTGAAAAATCAGGGAGGAGCTCGAGTGAAGCGAGCACAACTTCAAAGACTCAGAAAGAACTTTGAGACGTTGGAGATGAAGGCTGGAGAAACGGTGGCCAGCTATTTTGGAAGAGTCATGGAGACAACCAACGACATGAAAAATTGTGGTGAAATAATCGATGATGTCAAGATCGTGGAGAAGATTCTACGAAGTCTCACCGAGAACTTCAATTTCGTGGTCTGCACAATTGAAGAGTCCAAGGACATTGGCAAACTCACGGTGGATGAGTTGTAGGCGTCACTACAAATACATGAAAGTAAAGTGACAGAGAAGAAAACTGAAGAGCAAGTCTTGCAAGTGGAGAACGAACCAAAGAGTAATCGTGGAAAAGGATATTGGAGAGGAAGAGGAAGAAGCAGTTACAGAGGACGTGGAAGAGGCAGATCCACTACAGATCGATCTGCTATAACCTGCTTCAACTGTGAGAAGAAAGGGCACTATTCATTTGAGTGCACAGAAAAAGCGAACTACGTTGAGTTCGATGAAGAAGAAGAATTGCTGTTGATGGCACACACCGAGGTGAGCAAAGCTGAGGGAAAAGGAGTGTGGTTCTTGGATTCTGGCTGTTCTAACCACATGACCGGAGAAAAGTCATGGTTTACAGAACTAAATGAAGATTTCAAACATTCAGTTCGTTTGGGAAACAACACCAGGTTGGCGGTTGAAGGAAAGGGAAAAATCAGATTTGAAGCAGAAGGCATTGTTCAAGTAATAACTGATGTTTATTACATTCCCAATCTCTCAAACAACCTGCTGAGCATTGGACAGTTACAAGAAAAGCAGCTGAAGTTTGTGATCGAGAATGGAACCTGCAGAATTTTTCATCGTCAAAGAGGCTTAATTATGGAGACGAAGATGACGTTGAACCGCATGTTCCTGATTTACGCCAAGGAAAAACCAGTGTCTGAGAAGTGTCTTAAAGTGGAAGAAGAGGACTTGGGGTCTCTATGGCACAGAAGACTAGGACATCTCAATAATATGTCCATCCAGATTATGCAGAAAAAAGAATTGGTGAAAGGGTTACCAAACATGAAAAATGAAGAAAATGTGTGCACTGTCTGCAATGTGGGGAAGCAGCAGCGAGAGAAGTTTCCAAAGAAGAGCAAGTGGAGAGCAACCAAGAAGCTGGAATTGGTTCACACCATCTATGTGGATCAATTACTCCTGTGTCTCAAAGAGGAAAGAGGTACTTAATGGTTCTTGTTGATGATTACTCTCGGAAGACTTGGATCTACTTTCTCACAGAAAAATCAGAAGCTTTTGAAACCTTCAAAGTGTTCAAAAACTTGGTGGAGAAAGAGGCCAAAACTGTGATACGAGGTCTGCGTACGGACAGAGGAGGTGAATTCAGATCCGAGAGATTCAATCAATTTTGCAGAGATCACGGCATAAAGAGGCAACTGACTGCAGCATACACTCCTCAACAAAATGGAGTAGCAGAGAGGAGAAACCGAATTATAATGAACATGGTTGGCTGTTTACTGTCCGAGAAAGAACTGCCAAGATCTTTCTGGCCTGAAGCTGCAAGATGGACAGCCTATATCCTGAACCGAAGTGTGACAAAAGCCGTAAAAGATAAAGTTCCTGAAGAGAGATGGACAGGAATGAAGCCAAAGGTCAGTTACTTCAGAGTTTTTGGATCGATTGGTCATGTTCATATTCCGGTTCAGAAAAGAATAAAGCTTGATGATCGAAGCCACAAGTGTATTCTACTTGGAGTCAGCGAAGAATCCAAAGCCTACAGGCTGTACGATCCAATTACAAAAAAAATCACCATTAGCAGAGACGTCATTTTTGAAGAAGATGCTAAATGGGATTGGAAATTGAGCAAACCAGAGCAGCAGAAACTCGCTTGGGGAGATGATGGAGTTACAGAAGAAGAAGAGACCGATGATGAAGCTGAGCCAGAAACAGCAATAGATCCAGCTCCTGCAGAAACTGAGAACGCAGAAATAGAGGAGATCACCAATCCTCAAGGAGTTGAAAATCAAGAGATTGAAACTGGAGAACAAACAAGGAGGCCAAGAAGACAACCAGGGTGGATGCAGGATTTCGTGACTGGAGAAGAAGGAAGTGATGAAGATGATGCTTTGATAAACTTTGCTCTTCACGTAATCAGTGATGATCCGATCCATTTTTTGGATGCGTCGAAGGAAGAAAAGTGGAAAGAAGCGATGAGACATGAGATTCTTTCCATTGAGAAAAATCACACATGGGAGCTTGTAAGATTACCATCGCAAGCAAAGAAGATCGGTGTAAAGTGGGTTTACAAAACCAAGTTGAATGAAGAAGGAAAAGTGGAAAAATACAAAGCACGCTTGGTCGCGAAGGGCTATTCTCAAACCGCTGGAGTGGATTATACTGAAGTATTTGCACCGGTTGCTCGTTGGGACACAATAAGGAGCCTCTTAGCAGTCGCAGCTCAAAAGGGTTGGTGTGTTTTTCAGCTTGATGTGAAGAGCGCTTTCTTATACGGTGAGCTTAAAGAAGAAGTGTACGTCGACCAGCCTGAAGGGTTTATCAAAGCAGGAGAGGAAGATAAGGTGTATCGACTGAAAAAGGCTCTCTACGGTTTGAAACAGGCACCGCGAGCCTGGTTCAGTCGAATCGAAAGCTACTTTGTCAAGGAAGGTTTTGAGAAAAGCAGCTATGATCATACTCTGTTTTTCAAGAAAAACGGCAAAGGCATTCTGGTGGCAAGTCTCTATGTCGATGACTTAATATTTACTGGAGATGATGAAACGTTGTGTGCAGAATTCAAGTCCTCGATGCAAAGGGAATTTGAGATGACCGATATGGGAAAAATGAAATTTTTCCTTGGAGTAGAGGTTAACCAGAACGAAGATGGTATTCATCTTTGCCAAAGGAAGTACGCTAAGGAGGTTTTGGAAAGATTCAATATGTGGAGCTGCAACTCAGTCAAGAACCCAATTGTTCCGGGTACCATCGTTTCAAAAGCAGGAAAGAATGGAGTTGACTCAACACTTTACAAGCAGCTTGTGGGGAGTTTGATGTATCTTACAGTAATAAGACCGGATTTAATGTTTGTGGTGTGTCTAATAGCTCGTTTCATGGCTGATCCTAAGGAAGAGCATATGATGATTGCAAAGCGAGTGCTGAGATATTTGAAGGGTACACTGGATTTTGGAGTTTTCTATAAGAGGTCATCAAATCTGAAGATGTTGGGCTACACAGATAGCGACTATGCTCGAGACGTGGATGATAGAAAAAGTACTTCTGGGTATGTGTTCTTGCTGAATGGTGCAGCGGTTTGCTGGAGTTCAAGAAAACAGAGTATTGTGACTTTGTCTTCGACCGAAGCGGAGTATGTCGCAGCAACCTCTTCTGCTTGTCATTGCGTCTGGTTGAAAGGTTTGTTGCAGGAGCTAAGTGTTCTTGGTGGTGGATGTGTTAGCATTATGTGTGACAACAGCTCTGCTATTAAATTGTCAAGAAATCCAGTTATGCATCGAAGAACGAAGCATATTGATGTAAGGTACCATTACTTGCGGAACCTTACAAACGAAGGAGTTATAAAGCTGAGTTACTGTGGAACGAATGATCAAATTGCTGATATTATGACGAAGCCGATCAAGTTGGATCAGTTTGAGAAGCTGAGAAGGTTGCTTGGAGTTCGAAAGTTAAACTGATTTTGAGAAGTATTTTCAGTTTAAAGGGAGGAATTTGTTGGATTTGACAAAATCTGAAGGTGAAATAAGTCAAACGGGTTTGTCGGAGTGGAATAAATATTCTCGGAGGAGAATTAGTCTTTTAGTTTCAAAGTTGTTTCAAGTCGTTTCCTGTTTTGTTTCCTGAAATTTCTGCTTAGTAGTTGTTAAGCTTTTCTATAAAAGCAGTTGTAATCTTTATCATTCAATAACAAAAAATCATTCAGACTATTCTTTTATTGAGAGCTTTTGATTTCTAGTTCCCTTTAAACATAAATGGTCGAGGCATGTTTGGCCCCATAAATTTCTGAATGAGAAGATCTATGCACGCCTTGCTGGAATGATTAGTAGTGAAGAATTTGTTTTCTCCCCAATCAAGACACGAGATCCTTTCTTCATCTATTTCTATAATCTCGAGCTGGAAATTTTCACAAGAGTAAGAGTTGAAGTTCCGGTAGTTGATGAGTCTAAATATTGTAGAGTTTACACATTCCCAAACTTTGTAGAGGATGTGAAGCTTATCTAAGTGTGTTAAGTTCTTCCAAAACAGAACTAATCACATCGTCTATCTGTTCTCTTTGTTTGATGAATCTGGCTTTGGAGTTACTATTTTTCTTATGATTTTCTCTAATATTGGTTTCTGAAATTACTAAATTTTACATTTGTCTGATAATATACAAGAGAAAATGTTGGAGAGAAGGGAAAGGCTTGTATTTGGATTGAAATGTTGTGATAGAATCCACATGCATTTTCCAATTGCTATCCCAAAATATCGTTGCTATATTGAAAACGTGTTAACCAGCTTTGGTTTGATCACATACTTTTTCTTGCCTCCTGATGGATCAACGGCTTGAAACAAATGAGAGATTGGTTTGAAGAATGTTTGAATTTGTCTCACGAATCAAGACTGGTTCAAGACTTCAAAAGAGTTGGGACACAAGTCAGTGATACACGCCTTGCCTTGTTAACTCAAGTCAACATCTGCTTTAATAATCGAAAAGCTATGGAGGATGGCTACTAACCTGAAACTCTTGACATACAGTTGAGTTTGTAGATACAATTTGGCAAATCACAAACTGGAAACTGCTTCTCTCAAGCATGAGAGGAATAATATCTAAGCCAAAACTTTTGAATCACTAATTGAACAATATGACTTTTTCTCTGCTATATCGCTACAACATCATTACCTCATCCAGTTGATACAAGTAGTTAGGCTGCTTCTGTGACTTCGACGAGCCTTCCACGAACCCACTTCTTAGTTACACTTCCTGATTCCAAAGACGCAGCCTTTTCTTCTGTTCCGTGGTAAACTTTGGAACCATTCAAAAGAGGAGGATGGTTCTCAATAAGTTTGATAGCTCCATTAGATTCTGGTGGTGGATGGACTCTGGTTCCGTTTGGTTGCGGAATCATCCCCAGTTTGATATCTTCTCCATCTCCCTGGGACGTATTTGGTTGCTTATCAGAAACATGCTGATTTGTGGTACCTTCTATGTTGAATGTCGGCAAATCGCTAGATCTCATGTTCAAGTGAAGACTCTCTCCGTTGATTGGGAATGTGTGTGTTCCGTTAACCTCCTCTAGCAGTTCTTGATCGTTTCTATCTTTGGTCTTGGATTCACTGTCTAGCTCCAGAAGACTATTATTAGGCTGAGGCGAGAGAAGATACGGGTAAGTCCCATCTTCATCTGAAGTCATCTGCCTCATCTCTATCGACTCAATCAGCTGTGTTGCTTCAGCTATGAGCTTTTTACTCTCTAGCAAAGATGCTTGAGCCACAGGGCTTTTCATAGCAGCAATCTCAAGGACTTTGGCAGCTTTCTCAGCCTCTGATATCAAAAGCCTGAGAAGGAAAAGGTTAACTTCTTGTTTTAACTTCCAAACAGAGAATATTAACAATTTTGTTTTTATGTTTGACTGACCTTGCTCGTTCCACAGCATCCATCTTCTTAGATTCTTCCGCCACTCGTTTTGCTCTGATGCTTTTTATCATTTCCAGTTTCGAGTTTGCCAAAGGATCTTTATACACAGGTGTTTTGCGCTTCCGTACTTTCACTACTTGAACTTGGCTTTGCCTTTCAGTCTCTGAATCCCTTGAGCTTTTCTTTGTAGGGCTCTTCTTTCTTGGCTCTGCATCGCCACTTGGTCTTCTTCGACGCCTCTCTACACCAGCAGGTATACCGTGATATTTTGCCAAGCCAGAGCAAACTCTTTCACGGTAAGACTGACAGAGAGAAACCAAACCAAGTTAAATATGGCCAAGAACAAAACATCAAGCAAATTACTAGGCAACTTACTGGATCAGCCCATTTAGCAGCTATTGCTTCTGCGATTTTCCTTCTTTGTTCTGGAGATTTTGGCGCCCTTCGGTTACTTTTAACTCCTCTAGCGGCTTTCCTCTGCTCTACGCTTTCCAGCCATTCCAGTTGATTCTGTTGATCCAAGATGTTGTAAGAGTTCCATTGAAGCTCTTCTTCGTCAGTATATCCTTCTTTAGCAGCTTCCGCTAACAAGTTTTGCCACTCGAAGTGACATGTCTCCTGCACTTTTCTCCTCTCCTTCCGCCTTGCCCATCGCATCCGCACTCCCTCCCCAATTTTCAACCGTGTCTCCTTGCTGTAAAAATCATATGCATATTTGGGAAGATAACATTATGATAACAAAAGCATAAGCAAAACCAGAAAAGTTCCATCGAGTTAAAAACCACAAAAAGAAAAAAAGAACCGGTACTGACTTTTGTGCGTGCCCGAGATTCGCTAATTTCATCTTGATCTGCGCAGGAAGAAGACACAAAGGTTTTGTGAGGGATTGAGAAGTCTGATACAGAGAGCAAACATAAACGCCCTAACAATACCATAGGTTTACCTGCAACTGCTTTCCTATAGGGTACAAGACTAGAATAACACAAGGGTCGAATCTGTTTGACAAAAGAACGTTTTCTTGCAAGCACTAACAATTTATACCGATACAAGTCCCACTAGAGTTACTACGGCCAACTCCTCTAAGAAGAGATATATAACCATTCTTACATTACATCACCTTTGGGTCTTGCATTGCAATCTTTGTCCTTTCTCTAATCTTTTGTAGGGTCTCTGTATAAACGCAAAAGGAAAAAAAATCATTTTAAAATGTTTCCAACTAGAAGCAACTGCAGATTAGTGACGAAATGCTTACGAAAAAAAAAATACTCACCCGGACTATGCTTCCTGCCTTTGTTCCATGGAGTGTTCCCTCTATTTGCCTTGGAAATCCTCATCCTTCTCAACTTTTCTCTGTCATCCACTTGTTCCAACGCTTCGCCATCTTCAGAACTTCCATTGCGATCCTCAGATGGTTTTGAAGAGGCAGAAGACAAGGAATAGCTTTGCTTGTTTTCTTTCTGAGCAGGATATTTGGTTTCAAGAGTGGCCACTGCGGTAATAAGGACTTTGCCTCTTCGTACATGAAGATGACCAGTGTAAAATTTCAAATTCTTCGAGAAACTGGATTTTTTCCATGGATTGGGTAGGTTTTTAGCATGGATAATACTCTGAGCCCCCAATGGAACAAGATGAGCTTGCAAGGAAGGTTGAATAGCAGCAATATCTGCAAGATTAAACAGTCAGAGTTTTGAGCATATAAGCTTAACAGGAACAGAAATTTAAGGAACTAAGCAATTTTGTGTTCCAAATCAAAGCAAAGAACCATCTCCAAGAGCAAAGAAACTGGGGAGACATTAATCCACATTCTCTACAAACTAAGCAAAGCAATCGTCTTTTTCTCATATGCATTTTAAAACCCAGTAACTATGAATATGTTAGATCCAAAAAGATTAGATTTTTTTTAGACCTCAGATTGCAAATGCAATGAATTGTCACTCAAGAATGAAACCCAATAAACAAGAAACAAAATTGAGAAGACAGAGAGTCTCAACACTGAAGTAGAATTCTAATCAGTAGTAACCAAACAAAACCCAGAAAACCAAAAATCAGACTAAAAATCATCAGCGCAGGAATAAATGTTGGAAAATTTACCAGAAAAGGTACCTAAAGAAGGCATTGGGAGCTCATTCAGCCCAAGAACTCGAAACCCTCTTTCTTTGCGACACAACAACCAGAATGTTTTGTAAGACTAACAATGCGTTATAAAGAGATATCTGTTGCTCTGCTGAATAGAGAGGGCAAAGGTTTTTGCGGGAATTTTCAGACAGAGAAGGATAAGCCACACAATAGCAAACTTCAACGAAGATACTTCTCTGTCTTTGACACAGCAACCAGGAGGCGGTGGATAACGAGACCCGGGTTGCTGTAATAACCCGACCCGTAGCACACATTATTGGGCTCACGGGCCGTAACCATTGTTGGGACACTAAACGCGACGTGTTCTTTTTGCGCTTGAAGGTAAAAGCGAATCAGAACGGACACGTGGTATTAGCGGGTAATTCTTTACCAATGACCCGACCCGTATAACCTTTTGTTGGGCTAAAGGGCTTCGATATCTTCTACTTTAAACGATGTCGTATAATCAACATTAAAATGTGGATCGAGAAAAGCCACGTGGTGTAAGCCGGGTCGGATCCTGGACAAAGTCTAGTATATGGGTCGGCGGTTCCGGGTTGATCTCCGGCAACGACTGTAACGCGACACTAATGGAGAGAGATTCCTCGTCGACGTCTTCGTCGTCATCGTCATCGCTGGACGAATCAGATTCTCAAATTCACCGTTTTCGTGGAAGTGACGAGATTCCTCTGTCTTATAGCGACGCGGCGGAGCAACGGCCTACCTTCGACGTGGAGAGTCTCCGATCACGTTTAACACGGAGTTTCAAGCTCAATATCACTAAGCGACAGTTCATTGTTATCTTTCTCCCTCTCGTCCTCGTTTTTCTTTACTTATCTACCGATTTCAGCAATTACTTCTTCTCCGTCAAGGTTCCAGATTCTGTATTCCGGCCAATTACCGGGACGGGTCGGGCTCAGGAATCGGATCTTCAAGCACTGTATCTTCTCAGGAAGCAGGAAATCGATCTCTTCTCTATCTGGAACCACACTTTATCGAATCTCTCAACAATCGAAGACGTGAAATCTGCAGTTTTCCGGCAGATTTCACTGAACAGACAGATCCAGAATGCATTACTGTCGCCGCATAAAACTGGAAATGTCAGTATTGATGGATCATCAGATGGTTTACCGGTTGGTAGTTGCCGGAAAGTGGATCAGAAGTTAACGGGGAGAAAGACGATACAATGGAAGCCGAGACCAGATAAATTTCTATTCGCCATTTGCTTATCTGGTCAGATGAGTAATCACTTGATTTGCCTGGAGAAGCATATGTTCTTCGCCGCATTGCTTAAACGGATCCTTGTGATCCCTAGCCATAGATTTGATTACCATTACAGTAGAATCATTGATATTGATCGGATCAATACTTGTTTAGGGAGGAATGTAGTGGTTTCCTTTGAGGAATTCTGGAAGAAGGATAAGAACAGGAAGAAGCATCATCACGTGCATATCAATAGATTCATATGCTACTTCTCGAAACCGGAGCCGTGTTATGTAGATAAAGAGCATATTACAAAGTTGAAAGCTTTGGGAATTACCATTGGAGGGAAGCTAGATACACCATGGGAAGAAGATATTGCCAGGCCAAGCAACAAGACAGCTGAGGAAGTGGAGACTAATTTCAGGTCAGATGATGATGTTATTGCGATTGGGGATGTGTTCTATGCTAATGTCGAGAGAGAGTGGGTGATGCAGCCTGGTGGTCCTATTGCTCACAAGTGCCAAACTTTGATTGAACCAAACCGGCTAATCTCGCTCACTGCACAGAGATTTATCCAGACTTTCCTTGGCAAGAACTACATTGCTCTACATTTCCGCAGGCATGGATTCTTGAAATTCTGGTATGGTGCATTTTCCACTCCCTTGATTGCTCTGTAGGGTTTCTGGTAGTGTAATAACTTATTCTTAACCAAATTATAGCAGTGATGAATGGATAATTGGAGCTACTTAGTTTAGGCGAATTCTATTGACCAGTTTATCATCTATGAATAAAGTATCAGTATTACAAAGTTTTAATCACGAGTACCAAAGATAAATGCTCAATAACTTATCTTCCTTAACGGTATCTGAGATTTTGATTGTATGTTGTTTTTTTTTTTAAATAGTGGTTTTTGGTCTACCTATGTTCGTATGATGAATAGCTGTAGCTTAGATTTCACCAGGAACCTTGCTAAGTAATTTTCTTCTTGTGTCAGTAACGCCAAGAATCCAAGTTGCTTTTACCCTATTCCCCAAGCTGCTAACTGCATCACTCGTCTGATTGAGAAAGTCGAGGCACCGGTTATTTACCTTTCAACTGATGCAGCTGAAAGCGAAACTGGTCTGCTACAATCACTGTTGATGCTAAATGGAAAGACTGTTCCCCTTGTGAAGCGACCAGCTCGTGATTCAGCTGAGAAATGGGATGCATTGTTATACAGACATGGTCTCGAGGGCGACTCACAGGTAACATCTCCTCTCTTCTTCATATTGGATTTGAAAGAATGGAATCATACAAGAATTAACAAATCATAACTGAGATATTTCCTTTTTGAAAGGTGGAAGCAATGTTGGACAAGACGATATGTGCAGTGTCAAGCGTGTTCATTGGTGCCTCGGGTTCTACTTTTACAGAGGATATCCTGAGACTGAGAAAAGACTGGGGAACTGCTTCAGATTGCGATGAGTATCTCTGTCAAAACGAGCAGCCTAATTTTGTAGCCGATCATGAATAAATTTAGGAACAAAGCAGATTAACATAATCTCACGTCTTGTGAGTTCTCATCATAAACAGTCTAATTCTCTTTTTGTTCTTTTGTTCATAGGTTATTAATGAGTGTATCATAAAATAAAGCCATACCTCTCTGTAACTCATTGCTGTTCTGATGCATCTGATGATACAGCTCCTAATATATAACCTGAGATTGTTGTTATGAAAGTTTCTAAGCGATGTGTCAGTTTCAAATTGCCTGACTTATAAACATTTATCCCAAATGGCTAATGATTTAAAATTAAACACTAAACCTTTGTTTTACCAAATTGTAAAGTCGATTTCAAAGACTGTTTATGCAGCTTATATATATATATTTGTCTATATATGAGGATTTTGTATATATGTGCCCAGAGACGCGCCGCCGCTTCTTCGACTTTCCTCGTGGAATATTTATAGGATTTGCTTTGTCGGTCATCGCGATAATAAGTATCTAAAGCTTCGATTTTTTCTTTAATTATACAAAAACCCACGTCGTTTAGAGCAATACCCAGATAACAAATTGACATCTTCCTTACCAAAGATCGGAGCTTTTCCAAAGTTTCGAAAACTTTTACTCGCGTGTGTTATTTTTGTTCGGTTTCTGTTTCAAAGAGTGTGATCATGAGAGCGAGATTGATTGTTTTCCCGATTAAAGGGAAGAACTGGTGTTTTAGCAGATCCGTTGATCCTTTCGCTGCTCAGTCGCCGTCCGGCGTTACTCCGACGACTATACGAGGTTTATGGAAGAAACTATCATCTGAGTCGAAGCCAATCAATGCCAACGCAGAGCTTCTCGTCGATTTCATCTCTGACAAGGTATACACAAATTGAAACTTTTTCTCTATATATAAAAGCTTACATACCCGTGTGTTTGTGTGGCGTGTAGTGAGGTTTTTCTATCTATTGGTGATGTATACAAATTTGTGACCAATAACCTTTGGTTTTGTTTCTGATCAAAGGTTTTTAACTTGGATAGGACCAGTAGGAATGAGAAAGAAACACACAAACAAAAAAAGGTTTTATTTTTTGTTTTTATCAGTGTGATGAGTTGTTGTTGTAATGGTTAGATGAATAAAGCTTGGATGGGTCTTGAGAAAGCGCCTGACGGGTCAATGAAGAACAAGATTCATGGGTTTGTGAACTCTTTACTTCTCTTTTTTGTTGTTGTATTTGAGTCACTTGTGGAGGTTATGGCTTTGGTCTTTAATTTGATAGGCTTAATGTTAAACTGTGGTCTCTGTGGTTGGATGTATAGGTTAGGATTAAAGCTTCTGGCTCGTGTTAAGCCGTCTGAGATTTTCTTGAAGTCTATATCTAAGGAGGTCACTTCTGTACAAGTCACTTATCCTCTAAGGTTCTATTCTCTCTCCTTTTCTTGAATTTTTGTAAACTTGAGAGGACCATTAATGCCTCTCTAATGAATGATTAAACTTGATATGGCCTTCATGAGTATGTTCTGGTGAATTCGGATTGGTTACGGGGTTTGCTAATTCATGTTAAATGTTTCAGTTTAGACTCTAAACTTGTACGCAGGAGACTACGCCACATTGCCATGAGGTAAATTGCTTTTTGTTACCCAGTGTTCTACCATTTTCACATGTCTCTTGGGCGAATTTAGGTTGAGAATCTCTGTTTCTTCTGACACAAATGTTTCGAAATGTACTTCTAGTGGAACAATCCTGCACAAGAAGTACCTAATTGGTTCAGTAACTTTGCTTCCATTGACCAGTGCATTTATGGTATGTATAGTATGAAGCTTTCCCTTTGAAACCTTAGCAAACTAACTTCGTTTTTTTCTCCTTCAAGTCTCTTAAACCAACAAAAGCTTTGTTTTTCCATTTAGGTATTGCCATTACCAAACATAGCATTCTTCTGGGTCTTATTCCGTACATATTCCCACTGGCGAGCTCTTCAGGTTTGTCGATTTTACTTACCGGTACATAATTCCATTATCGTATAAAACCTCAAAAATCTTGATTAACAATGAAGGGAAGCGAGAAGCTGCTTAAGCTCATCTCAAACCAGTCAACTCCTGAGAAACCAAACTCAACTGATGATGCAAATGAAAGCAAGAACAACAACAACAACAAACCGAAACAAGAATCTCTATCTCCCACATGTGTAAGCTAATCTTTCTGTCATCAAAGAAACTCAATCGAAGGTTTCTTGTTTCTTATTTGTCTTTGTTTCTCATAAAAACAGGTTTTGCTGCCATCAGAAGAGTTGTATCAGCTACTTCGTGAAGCTAACGACGAGGAAGGGCTCGACGAGGAGATCATAGTAGAGATTTGCAAATCCTTTCATCTAAATAAGATCGATGTTCTTAAATATCGCAATCTAGTCTAACTCTTTTTGGCATTTTAGGCTCTCTTTTTTTTATTTGTTTTGAAACAAACTTTCAAACACTTTCAGATGTTTGAAGCTAGAGATTACGATCCAATTCTTTTTGTCTTTTGATTCCTTGCTACTTTTCTTTAAAACAAAAAAACATATATGTAACTTGGAAACAGTTGCATTTTCAGTTTTGCACAACAAAAGGAAAACATATTATTGTTGAGAACTTGAAGACATCGTATTGTTTGCCCTAGATCTAAGTTTTGATTAATTGCTTTGATAATACAGTGATATCGCATTACCACCTATATTATAAGTAAATGATATACGCTGGCTTTGAGTTTCTATCTGGTAAAATGAAGATCAATGGTTGTCACTTAAGCATTGAAATGAGTTGCGAATTAACTTTTCTGAAGCTCATTAGGTAGGAGATATAAGGTAAGCCAACAACATCTAGTGTTTTTTTAGCTGAGTTATATGTACAATGTAAAAATACATTTGGATTTACGAGTTAAAAAACCAATCAATTGAAATACTAAACTAGACAAAACTTTAAATAAAACAAGAGTTGAAGACTTACATAAATTTCAGATTCTCAGAGTAGTCTAGAGAGATATTAACCCTCTTGGTCTTAAACAACTCAAGACCTTTGATTTGAACTCTTGTGAAACCGTTGCTCTTGAGGTCATAGTAATAAATGTAAAACGGGTCTGTTATAACGTGCGGGGACAACACAACTTCACCACTATCAGTCATTCCAACAATGGCTAACCCGGTACGGTTAACAAAGTTTTGCGTAAAAGAAGGAAACGTGTAGATATTCGTGGACCATGTACATTTCTCAGCATCTTCCAGAAGCCAGAACTCGAGACGTTTCGGATACGACAATGTAAACTGGAGCGCACCTAATTTACCCTTGTAGTCGATTAGAGTACAAGAAGAATTCATCAATGAGTCTTTATCTATCTTGATAAAGCTAAACTTCTCGAACCTAATGTCAAAGCAGACTATCATTGTAACCATGAACTTACGATCAACCCCAGCTGTGTAATACAAAACACCGTCTAAGCATATTCCACTAGATTTAGGATAATGGGGTTCGATGCATTCGATATCTCTCCACAAATGTTTCCCATTCTCCAATGTCAGAATTTTATGCTCATCGGATGCATCTATGATACTGATGCACAATACTTTGAACTGTTTGTCGATGGGATCATATCCTAAAAAAGGTTTCATGAAAACATCTAGACTCTTGGATTCTGTTTTGAGTAAGGATATAGACTCTCCCGTGACGGGGTTACAGATAAATACGGTTTTCTCATATAGACGGCAGAAGAATCCACCAAGAGGAGAACCAATCTTAGATGGAAAAATATTGTGCGTATGGTGAACGTGATAGCGAGTGAGTACAAGAGAAGAGTTGTCATCTAGCTTCTGAGGCTGAGGTGAAGAGAAGAAGAATATGTTTTTCTCAAGTTGGAAGGTGAACAAGAACAGGCGTGGACGAGCACAAGACATAGTCATGAACAACTCGGTGAAATCTGGACGGACAAGTATGGATTCCCATAGTTTGGATACGCAAAGACACCTTGCTATAGTTGTTGCCGGAACTCGAGAAAAGAAATCCATGAGGAGATCAATTGGGATCACTTCTATTGTTTCTTGAGCTTCAAGGAACCTTTGCCCTAGATTTTCCATGGCGACCAGTACAAGGAGCCAAATCTTCGTACGTTTTGGTTATCAAAGTCTCTAAAGACTATATAAGAAAAGCTGATCGAGAGAGAAAGAAAGATGCATGGCTGAGTTAAAAGGAATCGGAATATAGATTAGTATATTTTCTTGTTCTAATTTAGAGATTTGAGAAATTATCCTTTCTTTATTCCCACAGGCCTGGTTTGCTACATTCAAAGAATGGAAATTCTTTTCTTTTTCTTTTTTTAAGAATGGAATTACTTGAGAAGTCATATCTTTGTGATTTGGGAACTACAAATTAATAGCGCTTTGAGACACATCAGCTTATTCACCTTAGAAGAAGAAAGCATGGGAAGGTGTAGATACGGTGGGGGCTTTTTGGAAAGAAACATGTGGATAACCACGAGCAAATATGATCACCAAGCTGTCCAATTTTCAACGAATTAACAAGATAGCAACACAAATCCCTCAAATGATAGTTGAGCTGTATTGACCACAACTCTCTTCTTATTATTAAGACTTTATCGTTTCCGAAACAACGTATACAATGTGTGACTTGTTGTACTTTTAAAATTATCTTAGTTACTAACAAACTGTTGAATTTTCAGTTTTGCTGCTGCATAGGCATTAAGCATAGCCTAATTCTGTCACTTTTTTCAGTCTATCACTTTGCAAACCATCTTTTTCTTGCATCATCCATTGAAGATTGAGTTTTAAGACAAAGCCATATAGAAAGTAACTAAGAATATTATTTTAAGAAAAAACCAGATATAGCTTACATGGAATTGAATGAGTACATGCCGGCATGATTAATTTTGGTGGGTCTTTACATGCAGTCTTATTAAACCTTAGAAAATCAAAAGTGCCTTAACAGGTGTGATCAAAGTCAAAACTCTAATATCTGATCAGATATAGCTCTGAACTCTGATATGCCATGTCACTCACTTCCAAAGAAATGGCTCTTCCAATATGCTCTTTAGTATTGAACTAAAAGAATTGTGAAATGAAACCGTAATTAAGAACAACGAAATTCTGTAGATAATATTAGCATCAAAGATATATAAGTACGTGTTCATGCACACGCTATAACAAAATGTACCTTTCTCTTTATTTGACATGCTTGGCTCCAATAATTGCATAGTAAATAAACGAAAGATCACACGGTTTAAATTACTCAGTCCATGAAAGCCCTCTCCAAATCTTTTGCAATAGGCTAAGCAATCAAAGAAAACCCCTAATTAATCCTTTTCCACGGAAAACCCATTCTTCAACTTTTCGCTAGTCTGACACTATCTATCTATTTTTGTAGGGGAAAAGTTACCTTGCGAGCTTTATTGGCATACTCGAGTTGAAATAGCCTCCCTTGGAGAAAAATTGTTAACTCCTTTGCCATATTCAGTCCTTGGAACAAAAAAAAAAAAAAACACGGAATATACATTACTCAATTGAAATACTAAGTTAGACAAAAGCTTTAATTAGAAAACAAAAGAAAACAAAAATTGAAGACTTACATAAGTTTCAAATTCTCAACATAGTCTATAGAGGGGTAAACTCGCCTACCCTTAAACAACTCAAGACCATGGATTTGAACTCTTGTGAAACTGTTGCTCTTGAGGTTGTAGTAATAAATGTAACTTCGGACTGATGGAGCGTACGGCGACAACACAACTTCACCATTATCGGTCATTCCAAGAATGGCTAACCCATTATGGTCAACAATTTTTTGCGTAAAAGAAGGAAATGTGTAGATATTTTTGGACCAACTACATTTCGCAGCATCTTCCAGAAGCCAGAACTCAAGACGTTTATTGGGAGACAAAAATGTGAGCTGAAGCGCACCTAATTTACCCTTGTAGTCGATTAGAGTACAAGAAGAAGTCATCAATGAGTTTTTATCTATCTGATAAAGCTAAACTTCTCGGACCTAATATCAAAGCAGACTATCATAGTAACCCTGAACTGAGGATCGACCCCAGCTGTATAATACAAGACACCATCTATGCATATTCCACTAGATTTAGGATAATGGGGTTCCATGCATTTGATATCTCTCCACAAAGGGTTTCCATTCTCCAGTGTCAGAATTTGATGCCCATCGGACGCATCTGTGATACTGATGCACAATACTTTGAACTGCTTGTTGATGGGATCATATCCTAAAAAAGGTTGTGTGAAAACATGTAGACTCTTGGATTCTATTTTGGGTAAGGATATAGACTCTCCCGTGACCGGGTTACAGATAAATAGGGTTCTCTTATCTATACGACAGATGAATCCACCAAGAGGAGAACCAAAATAAAGTGAGAAATCTCCGGGAGAATGCTTGTGGTGAACATGATAACGAGTGAGTATAAGACAAGAGTTGTCATCTGGGTTCTGAGGCAGAGGTGAAGAGAAGAAGAATATTTTGTCCTTTACTTGAAAGGTGAACAAGAGCAGGCGTGGACGAGCCCTAGACATAGTCAGGAACAACTCGGTAAAATCCGGACGGATAAGTATGGATCGCCATAGTCTTGCTATAGTCGTTGCCGGGACTCGAGAAAAGATATCCATGAGGAGATCAATTGGGATTTCTCTTACTGATTGTGTTTCTTGAGCTTCAAGGAACTGCTGCCCTAGATTTTCCATGGCCACCAGACGAGGAGCGAAAGCTTCGTACGTTGTGGTAATGGAAATCTTTTAAGACCCTGTTTGTTAGGCAAAGACAATAGTTTGAGACCTAATATAGCTCGATATCTATGATCAGAAATTACTTTTTCCTCAAGTCATCGTAAATTCGCAAGCCCAATTATAAACAATTTTTTTGCTTTGATTGTTTGCCGAGTGGCTCGCTCTTGTGTTTATATTTAAGTGTGATGATTAGTATCACTTTGGATTCCAAAATATGGAACTGCCGTAAACAAATTTGAATTTATTTTCTTAAAAGAAATGTTATATCTGCGAATCTGTTGTAAACTTAGCCGATCAATCTACGATTCACTCTCAATTCTAAATCAATTACTTTTTCGATGTGAATCTATACTATTGTTTACGAAGTCAAAAATCTTATGTGTCGTCTCCATAGCGATCGTTTTACGTATCATTAATATGTGTCATTTTAATTAGTTTTCATTGGTCAATCATTAATCCTACATGTTAAAATTTGTGACATGAATTTATTCGCTCTAAATGGGCCTCATAAGCCTGAATGATCTACTATGGGCCAGTGATTTCAAAAATATTCTCAAATCGGTGTTAACTAAAAAATCTAATGTATCCATCTGACTATATACATACTAAATAAAAACCCAATATATAGGGGTTTATAGTTTATTATTTTATAACCGGTAAACAAAAATAACTAAATAACTCTTTTATATAGAAATGAAAAATTAATTTTTTTTTCTTTTTTAAATTAGTAATTCATTGTTTAATTTTATTCATCTAAATGTGAAAACTAAAATAAAATTATTTTTATTTTCTTATTAACTCTATATTTTAGAATAAAATTTATGTTTTTTAGATTTATATATTTTTTTATTAAGTAACATTATCTTGTATGATTAAGATTACGAATAGATTATAGTTTTTTCTTACTAACTTTAGCTTTTATTTTAATTGTAATTTATATTTTCTTTATATATTTGATAACTTTATATTTTAGGATTCGGATACAATTATAATTTTTTCCATTTATTATTAATATTATATATCGGAATCTAATTGAAAATTTATTAAACACATGTCAAAATCTAATTGTTTATCTTGCAGGCGTCACGATCTCGCAAATTACTAACTTTGAAACACTCTACTCATTTATATAGAGAGATAGATCTTTGTTTTATTAGATATAACACTGATGTTTTTTTATGTCTAGCGCTTTTTTCCCTTTTTGTTTGTTCATCATTTAATAATTTTATTAATAATTTGCATAAGATTTTTTTTCGTATGTTTTGTTTTGTTTATGCTTGATACATTATTTCGTCATGTGGACGTTTTTGTATCACGTCGTTTGGACGATCTATAGTGTCTGAAAATTTCATGCTCTTTTGTTTTTTTTAGAACAGCACATGATTAGTTTCTAAAGTTTTTTTTTATCCCAGTTCGTATATTTTTTTCCGTCTGCTTCATCTATTGTTTCGTTCAGTGTTTGATCGATACACCACTTCATCATGTGGATGTTTTGTATCTCACCAGGTGTGTGGCTCATAAACAAATGATCTAATTGTGTATTTAAACATGTTGTGGTTCTTTTGTTTAGTTTTTTTTTTAAGTAGAAACGTAATTACTACCTAAATTCCTTTTGTTATGTACCTAGTTTGTATCTTTTGTTTCTGATTTGTATATTTTATAATAATTTGTTTCACCTATTTGTATTGACGAATTTTCTTGTATTTTTCTTTCACTCGAAATTGATTCGAACTAACGTGTTTTATTTTTTTTTATTGGTGTGAGTCTTTGAGTTAATTAAGTGAGTAAAAAGAAAGGTAATTATTTAGGTTTGTGGAGTTTGTCTACTCTGCCGTGTTGTTTTGCGGGTTTAATCATGAGAGTTCTTTGTGGAAAATGTGGAAAATGTGTACGCAATGTGTTCTCTTTGTGGAAAATCTAAACTCTAGCAAGACCTTTGTGGAAAATGTGTTCTTTTTGAAGAGAACAAACTCTGCAAGGGTAATCGTTGGTGTCACCATGATCTTAGCCATTTGATAGAATCCAACTGGATAAAAACAAAAGCTTTCAAGTATGAGATAAGAAGATAAAACAAAGCACAATCTCTTTATCTCTTCAGTGTCTGAAAACCGATCTACATAGTTTGATTAGGGCTATCAAAGGTCAATTTACAACTTGAGCTAGAAATCTTGATGCAATCATTACAGATTGAGCTATGAACATGTTGTGATTGAGGCTGGTATTAGCGAGACTAGAAGCAAAGGTCAAGACAGATCCAAAAGAGAAGAGAGCGAAGAACGGTATTGTCTTTGATGTAGGAGACATATTTGAAGTGATTAGAGAGAACTTAAGAAAGC